AGACGACTCTCGGAACGAGTCTGCTACCGCGTGCTTTGCCCCGCTCGGCTGTTCTTGCTCGCGCCGCAAATGGGCGTTTCCCCCTCCCCTGTCTTTCCACCCTTTTCCCTTATTTTAACGCGTTTGTCTGTTTTTGCGGTTCGGTTTTGAGCTCCGTGGGAAGGCGGCTGTCTCGGGCTGAATTCGCGCAAGGCGAGAGGGGATATGCACTGCAACGAATGTTAGGTTGGAATGACTTCAGTTATCGGTTACACTGTAAATGTCCTTCGGTGAAAGGCTGCACCAATATATTATGGTAGAGATTTTCTCCTTAATACATATCAACGAAATTCGTCAAAATATCTATAAGGTACAGTGAATTCTCAGTGGTTATGAAGTCAGCTGCACCACCATAATATGGAACGTTTCCACCATGGAGAATCTTCACTTTGCAACATTTAGAGTGTACTTTCGTATCTGGCCTGACATTGCCGTAGGAATCCGTGGTCATTTACGTCGATTCCATCCACGTTTTGTGGTGGCGTGCCCTGCGAAGGCTTCGAACGTATTTGCTATTACCAGTGCCGTGGCATAATGCATGCGCGTTCTCTTTACGAGTTCTGCCTTGAACAAACACAGTCCAATGTCAGCAACCCCTAAATTATTGAGATATGTATATCACCAGAGCAACATTATAATTATTTGTGTTTGTGCTAGGGGGCTTTTGCGTCCGTCACCTTTACTCTATGTGTGTGTGTGTGTGTGTGAGAGAGAGAGAGAGAGAGAGAGAGAGAGAGAGAGAGAGAGCACTCGCACTTCAGTCTCCGCCATGTATATCTCCATCTGGGACAAATGGCAACAAATGCCCGCCGCCCCCTAAGGCCAGCCAGGCAACAGGCCGCGTCCGAAAGTGCCCCCCCCCTCCTCTCCCTCCCTCCGCGCGGCCCCCTCCGTGCTGCGTCTCGCACATGACCCGCACGCAGCCCCGGGGCGCGGCTGGGCCAGGCAAGGCGGGCAGGGCGTTTGTCAGAGGCGCCGTCAGCACAGTGTCATTACTGTTATTATTTAGGAGGTGGGGGAGAGGAAACGCCGTGGCATTCACCGGCCGGCCCACTACGGCGGCACGCGCAGCGCAGCGACCGGCAGCGACGGAAAAGTGCGGAGTGGCGCACAGTGGGCCGGAAGACCGGTGGAGGCGGCCAAAACTCTAGACGTGTTTTGAGCTCCAGGGTCGCTAAACAGGACTCGAACCGAACGTGTGACCCCACCAATGGATTGCTCGTTCGGAGAGCTATCCATTGGTGGGGTCACTCGTTTGGTTCGAGTCTTGTTTAGCGGTGGCCGTCGAAGAGGTGGCCGTCGAGGGGATGGCCGTCGAGGAGGTGGCCGTCAAGGGGGTTGCCGTCGAGGAGATGGCCGTCGAGGAGGTGGCCGTCAAGGGGGTTGCCGTCGAGGAGGTGGCCGTCGAGGAGGCCGTCAAGGCGGTGCCCGTGGTGGCCACTGCCGTAAAGCGGGTACTTTGGGGACAAAGTTGCACGGGGAAGAGCATACCCGCGAATCCTGGCCGCGGTGGGGCTGCCCCTGATGCCCGCCCGTTTACGTTCACGGCATTTCTGGACAATTTTTCCCCCTGACGTCTGCATCCCTTACACTTTAAGGGCGGCTTTGACCTGCCCCCTGCAAGTCATCAACATAAACGTCCAATTTATTCAGGACGGCACAGACACACACACACACAGACACACACGCACACACACACACACACACACACCGCACCAACACACCTACACACTCACGCACACAGGTCCAGGATGTAATATGTGGACGACCCCACTATAAAGACGTTCTGTTTGTCGGAAACTCTGAATGGTCGTCCGTCCGGCTGATATTGCCCCGAGGAACACTATCGAAGACGTCGCTGGCATATCAGTCTAGGGGGTCCTGGGGGCCTCGGCGCGTCCTTGGCCGTGCCCGCGTCTCGCCGCGTCTCGCCGCGTCGGCAATAAATCAATTCAACTATCTGTTGGAGCGAGCCGTCCAGCCGTCCCCCAACTCGCTTGTGACTTTCACTTTCGAAGCCCCCCCCCAATCCGAAAGCAACTCTGGACGTGCACCGTAACGACCCCGGCGGCGGCACCGGCCGGACAACAGGGGTGGCCGGTCAAAACAAACGACCAATTTCCAAAAATATTTAAATAAACTCTCTCGAAAATAAAAGTTTTAAAATATTACACAATTTAAAAATTTTGTTCTAAAAAAACTTCTCATAGAATTCTAATTCATCATTCTAGTAAGCAATGTGTGAGAAATCAGCTGTGGCTGAGAAACGCATAGAGAACAGTATCAACAAACAAACATGTAGGAAACAGAAACAATAACAAAAACAAACACCTGTAGGTAGGCAAAAATTCACTCTTCGTCCCTCTAGGTTGGCAGACGGCGCTGCTTCCCCCTCCGAAGGTGGCCGCTGGATCCGCCCCTGCCCCGCCCCCTCGCCCCGCCCCCTCGCCCCGCCCCGGCCGGCTTGAATTGGCGCCAGCACGGCGCATCAACCCCGCGTCCCGGGCCGCGACCTGCCGCAAGCTGTGCCCCGCGCTCCGCCGCTGCGCCGCCGTGCCATCGCATTTAACACGCGTAGTAAAACACGGCGGGGGCGTCGTCCCCATCGTCCGTCTCTGTCGCACACACACACACACACACACACACACACGTCGAACGAGGAAGAGAGAGGAGGGACTTAACGAGGGGAGTCCCTCATAAATCCAACAAATCGTCGTTTGATCGCGCGGCCGCAAGCGCCGCAGCCAGAAGTCCCGCAGGGATCCCGGATCCCGTCGGGGATCCCGGGGGGACTCGATGATAATCGGGAAGGCGGGGAGCATCCCTCCGTGCCACAGTGGGCCGGACGACCGGTGGGGGCGGCCAAAACTCTAGACGCGTGCAGAGCTCCAGAGTTGCTAAATGGGACTCGAACCGAACGTGTGACCGCACCAACGGATTGCTCTCCGAACGAGGAACCCATTGGTGGGGTCACACGTTCGGTTCGAGTCCTGTTTGGCGACTTAAGAGCCTAAAACGCGTCCAGAGTTTCGGCCGCCTCCACCGGTCTTCTGGCCCACTGTGCGCCCCGCATTGTCCGCCAAGTCGGGCGGGACGTCCCCCGGTCCTCGGGGACGTTCTCGGGGACGCCGCGGAGACGGGGAGACGCGGACGAGCGGACGGAGGAGAAGCGAGAGTGATATACGAGGCGGGGGAAAAATGGCGCGTCGCGTCGCGGCCTCGCGTCTTGCAGTTTGCGTAGCGGCGGCGTGTCTTTTACTACCCCTTCTTCTTCTTCTTCTTCTTCTTCTTCTTCTTCTTCTTCTTCTTCTTCTTCTTCTTCTTCTTCTTCTTCTTCTTCTTCTTCTTCTTCTTCTTCTTCTTCTTCTTCTTCTTCTTCTTCTTCTTCTTCTTCTTCTTCTTCTTCTTCTTCTTCTCTTCTTCTTCTTCTTCTTCTTCTTCTTCTTCTTCTTCTTCTTCTTCTTCTTCTTCTTCTTCTAGTTCTTCTTGTCATCGTCGTCACCTCTCCACTACATTGTTGTTGTTTTCTTCGTCTTGTTGTCCTTCCCCCTCTCATTCCTTTTTTTTGTTTTCTTATGCGGTACCTGCCCGGTACCGCCGATGGAGCAATTACTCCCCTTATCGCGTTTGCACGGAAAAAAATAGATTAGCTGTCACAGCTAATATGTTTGCTGTTATTTCTTCAGCTAAGAAATTTAGTTGGTGCAACCAAAAAAATAGCTGCGACAGCAAATATTTTGCTCCAACAGCCAATATGAAAGTTAGTTCTCACGACTAATAATTTTAGCTACGTGGAACGAGAAGTTTGCTTCACATCTCAATAGTTAGTTGTAAAGACTGACATGTAATCACAGACACGAAAAGAAAAAAAAACCCACTCGATATTGGAATCGAACCTGGGACCTGACGACTGCGAGACAGGGCCGCTAACCACTACGCCACAATGACGATCTGCATACCGGACAACAGAGCGACCGTTAAGACGTGTCTCGCCGACAAACTCGGGAAATCTGTCGTCGTCGGCTTCATACGCGATCTTTGGCGACAGGCAAACGTCATCACTGTGACAGCGCAGTGGTTAGCGGCCTTGTCTCTCAATCATCAGGTCCCAGGTTCGATTCCAATTTCGATTGGTTTTTTTTTCTTTTCGTGTCTGTGATTACATGTCAGTCTTTACAACTAACTATTGAGATGTGAAGCAAACTTCTCGTTCCACGTAGCTAAAATTATTAGTCGTGAGAACTAACTTTCATATTGGCTGTTGGAGCAAAATATTTGCTGTCGAAGCTATTTTTTTGGTTGCACCAACTAAATTTCTTAGCTAAAGAAATATCAGCAAACATATTAGCTGTGACAGCTAATCTATTTTTTTCCGTGTGCCGGTGGTGTGTGGTGGTTTGTCGCACGGAGAGTGAAGGCGCGGTGCTATCTGCGTCTTAATCGTCGGGCTGCTTGCTTGTTTAAAGCAGCCGGAAATTGACAGTTTTTTTTTCTCTCCTGCTGACACGAATCGCGATAGCGGCAGCGCCACCGTGTCAATGAATAGCAATTAGTTTGGAGATCTCGTTTAGACGCGGGCTTCGTAAATCGCGCCACTGCAAGTGCACGTCTGGCGGAGCTGCCAAGTGGGGCACGGCCGGCACGGGGCCTAATTAGTCCTAAAGGACGCGCCAAAGGTCAGAGCCCTGGAAGGGACCAGGCACAGTGGGCCGAAACTCTAGACGCGTTTTGAGCTCCAGAGTCGCTAGACAGGACTCAAATCGAACGTGTGACCCCACCAATGGATTGCTCTCAGAACGGGGAATCCATTGGTGGGGTCACACGTTCGGTTCGAGTCCCATTTAGTGACTCTGGAGCTCAAAACGCGTCTAGAGTTTTGGTCGCCTCCACCGGTCTTTTGGCCCACTGTAAAGGGCCGCGCTTGATTTCCTCTGACGTGTTTTGTTTTGTTGGCTTCGCAGGCAGCTGGACCAGAACGAGCTCTCGGAGTTGTCGCCGGCGATGTTCGAGAGCCAGGGCGCGCTGCGGAACCTGCGCCTGGAGCTGAACCAACTGCGAGGGGTGCCGACGCGCGCCCTGCAGCCGCTACGCAGCCTGGAGGCTCTGTGAGTCACTTTTCGATATCTCAAATTGGAGTCGAGTGTTCGAAACCTTTTTTTTTTTTAAATCTAATCGAACCAGTCAAACTCGATTAAACCCGAATAAAGTATGAATATTGGTGGCTAATAAGGAGTGCAGCGAGCGCGAGGGCCAGGCAACAGCCTGCGAGGTAGGCAATCCCCGCCTCGACGCGCACCGCTGCTCGGCGGCGGCCTACCTCACAGGCGCTCTGCCCGCTCCGACGCACCGACGCGCCGACCAAGCAGGCCCTGAACGGTTTCCCTTTCTCCCTGCAGGAACTTGGGGACCAATCTCCTCGGCGCCGTGCGCGCGGGCGACTTCCCCCGGATGGACTCGCTCGTCATACTGTGAGTATTGCGACGGCGGCGGCGCACAGTGGGCCAGAAGACCGGTGGAGGCGGTTGAAACCCCGGACGCGATTTGAGCTCCAGAGTTGCTAAATGGCACTCGAACCGAACGTATGACCCCACCAATGGATTCCTCGTTCGGAGAGCAATCCATTGGTGGGGTCACACGATCGGTTCGAGTCCCATTCAGCGACTCTGGAGCTCAAAACGCGTCTAGAGTTTCGGCCGGCGGCACCGGTCTTCTGGCCCACAGTGCCGCGGCCTCTGGACCGAATTTCTCATAACCGGAAGCGAGGCTCGCCGGCGACTTCCTGTCCGCCGCCTCAGGCCGGATCGGCGGTGCCTGTTGGAGCTTATCCCCCGCCGGACAGAACGGCCACAAACTTTGGCGCCCTTTGTCGGAATATTTTATATGATGGCGTCAAGTTTTCCCGGCGGGTGGTGTCAGCCTTCGCCTGGATGGCGGCCGCGAGGGCCTTCCCCTTCCCCGGCGTGTTTTGTGCGAGGTCAGGCGACGCGCCGATATTTCTGTGATTGACAGCGGCAGCGGCTAGATGGGGCCGAAAAAAAAACCTCGTGTAAGGGAGGAGTGACCTCAACTCACGCGCGCGCGCGCGCGCACACACACACACACACACACACACACACACACACACACACACACACACACACACACACACACACACACACACACACACACACACACATAGCCCATCCTCAGCCTCGCCGCCTGCCTCCTGTACTTTCGAAGACATGTCGGTGTTATCGGCTGGAAGTCTTGTAACGACGGGTCTTTTTCAAGGGGTTACCCACTCAAATTTTTAGCGTACACAGGATTCGTGATTACCAAAATTACATTGATTACCAGGATTACTAAGATTACCGGGATTACCAGGATTACCTAGTGATTACTATGATCACCAAAAGATTACCACGATTACCAAGCGATTACCAAGATTACCTCATGATTACCATGATTGCTCAGCGATAACAATGTCTATTAGCATTCTTGGATAATAACCGTGTTCTCACTTTCACTTGAATGGCTCGTCTCCGGAAACAGAGCTACTGCGAATAATGCATAGTGTATTTGCCGGCCATAGCTCACCATAGGAGCCAAGGTGATGAGAAGTGACGGTGTTGCGCGATTTCGTCTGCTTGGATTTTTTTGGGTATGGTACAAGATTCTGGCGTGGTCGGGCGTAAGAGAAGTTTATTTTGCCGCCATTCCACCCCTGACTTCTAAAGAGACTAAGTTAAAACAAGTTCCATATTTTGGTCAAATATGAAAAACTGCAAACAAAAAATAATTCTTAATAATATAATATAGTGGAGAGGCAACTTCTTGAGAGTCCTCTTAAGTAGTATCTTTGTCAGCAATAGTTTTGGATAGGAAAATAAAAGTCAATTTAGTTCACAAAAAATTTAAAATGTGGCACGAGGACGCACATACCAGACACGCCTTCGGGTGGCTTCGGGTCACTTCGGGTGCCCGGGGAAGACACCTCCCCGAGCAGGGACTATGTCGGCCTCCACTCCCACACTGGTGCCTTGCGGGCCTAATTGGTGGCCTACCTTGCCATTACCATTACTATTAAGGGCCAGACCATGATCGTATGCCATTTTGGGCCCGACACATGCCCGCCTGCTCTGCAGGCGTTAGAATCCCGCCCACACAGTTGCGATTACCAAGATTACCACACGATTACTACGATTACTACAAGATTACCCCACGATTACTACGATTACTACAAGATTACCACGATTACCAAGATTACCGAGATTACCACGATTACCCATGATTACCGAGTGGGTGTACACAGGATTACCTCAGTGGGTAACCCCTTGGTCTTTTTCAGCACGTCGACAAGTTGTTGTTGTTGTTTACGGTGAGGTTAACCCCTGCATGACGCCATGTTTTTGTTTGCCCCTCCAGACTGCTCAAACGGAATCAAATCAGCGAGATCGACGAGGAGGCCTTCGCCAACCTGACTTCCCTCCGAGTGCTGTGAGTGTGCCTTTCAGTCGATGACGGTTACCGAAACAACAAAAATCGAAACTAAGTTGTACCGTGGCTGTTTTGTTGGCAGGGAGTTGGACGACAATTTTCTGACGCACATTCCAGAGGCTCTGTCACATCTTTCTGCCCTGCAGGAGCTGTAAGTCTCTCGTACACATACTTTATGGAGTTTTTAATATTTTTTTCTGCGACTTTGGCTTTTCTAATGCGTTTGCAATGCAGGTCCGTGTCCGGCAACCGCATCAAGTACATTCCCGCAGGCGCGCTGCAGAAGTCGCCGGGGCTGGCCCTGCTGGAGCTCAAGGGAAACCCCCTGGCCGCCGTGCACCCCCACGCCTTCTCCTTCCTGCCCAAGCTGCGCAAGCTGTAAGTGGAAAGCAAGCGACGTAAGCGGAACCCGAGGATCAACCCAAAAAAATTGAGATCAAAGCAAATAAAATTTCTTAAAAAAATTAAAAAATTCAAAAAACATTTAAAATTTTTGTTTAATTAAGAAATAGAAAATGAAATTTAGATATTTTCCTTATCAATGTTACCGGTCCAGAAAGTACAGCCCCACAGTCAACTTTATAACTAATCATTCCGAAGTCGTTCTGACTTAACCTTTCTTTTTCACTGTGCGGTTGGTTCAACTTGATTTGGGAACGTTTCGGACTAACTTTCTCGGCGTTCCCCAGGATCCTGTCCGACGCCCGAGACCTGACCGAGTTCCCCTCGCTGAACGGCACCGCGGCGCTGGAGATCCTGAGGCTGGACCGCGCGTCGCTGCGGGAGGTGCCGCAGTCGTTGTGCTCCACCTGCCCCAAGCTCAAGAGCCTGTGAGTTTCACCACTATGTTAATCCAGAAACATCCTTAGTAAATTACACGAATACTTGAAAATTGTCACTAATGTAGCAACATAGAGGAAAATTGGAAAAGTAAATTACAAATATGTGAAGGTGGGAACCCTTCAGATCAGCCTAAAGCGATAGCTTTTCCTAGTTTGTTTTTCTTTTAAATGTAACTGAAAATTAACGTATTTAAAGAACGGTTCCGTAAAGAGAGCTCCGAATCTGAAACCTCCGTCCAGCACGGAGCGCAGTGTGCGCGACGGAGCGTCTGGAGACGCACTCATCTCCTCGGAGTGCCTCATCCTGATATTGATGAATGAGTGTGTTGAAGCGTGTGCGGACTTTGCGGACGGGGCCGCATCCCATCACAAGGATACACGGCCTCACTTGTTTTCGCTCCCTGTCTGTCTGTCTGTCTGTCTGTCTGTCTGTCTGTCTGTCTGTCTGTCTGTCCGTCTGTCTGTCTGTTTGTCCGTCTGTCTGTCTGTCTGTCCGTCTGTCTGAAGAGAAGGGCGAGCAGCACTCTGACTGTGATTGTGTTGGTTGCAGGGACATGAAGTCCAACAAGCTGACCCGCGTGCCGGATCTCTCGGCCTGCAAGGACCTCCGCGTTCTGTGAGTAGCAAGAGTCTAGACGTCCTAGGGGTCCCAGACGTCCTAGACGTCCTAGGGGGCCCAGACGTCCTAGACGTCCTAGGGGGCCCAGACGTCCTAGACGTCCTCAGAGCCGGCGGACGGGCGAATGCCGATGTGAATGTGTTTGTGGAAGACGCGCGGTCCCGGAGGCTCCGAAGGGACGGATAGCAAACATGGCCGGTCGGTCAAAGTGGGGTGGGAAAAGGAGGAAGAATCGCGACACCGGAAGTGGAAGTGGCCGGGGAAACGAAAACACGGAAGTCGTTTCCGGAAAAGGGAAAACAAAGCAATTTTTTGTCCTTGTTAGGACCTCTGTTACCGGTAAAATTCCCCCTCGGATTTCTCCTTGAGGCAATGGTATCCGGTTGGAATTATAATTGGTTGGTCAAAATTCCGGATGCGTTTTGAGCTCCAGAGTCGCTAAACAAGACACGAACCAAGCGTGTGACCCCACCAATGGATTCCTCGCTCGGAGAGCAATCCATTCAAGGGGTCACACGTTCAGTTCGAGTGCCATGTGCACATATGGAAGTGGTTGGTTTAACCATTTGACCGTTGTCTGACCGGAGTAACCTCTGCCCGCAGGGACCTGGCCAGCAACAAGATCGCCAGCCTCTCCGGGCGGCCGTTCGCCGGACTGCGACAGCTCCACGACCTGCTGCTCGCGCACAACAACATCCAGACCCTGCCGCACGACGGCCTGGACGGCCTGGCCAAGCTGCAAGTCCTGTGAGTGCCCTACACTGTTAGGGGGTGGGGAAATCCTCGCAGTGCTGCCGCAGAAAGTTGAAGATGTTTCTTTTGCGGTGCAGGGACCTGGAGGCGAACGACATCAGCTACATCCACCCGGAGGCCTTCCTGGCCGTCAGTTCACTGGAGGACCTGTAAGTGTATTTTTCTTACTAGGTTTTAAAGAGAACACGCCGTTTTAAAGTGGTGCATCTGGTGGGAAAAAATGATCGAAATCGAAAAGCAGTATCTAAAATCGGTTGATCGGAATCGAAAACATGATCTAAATTCGGTTGATCGAAAACGAAATAGCGATTCCTAGTTGTTGGAAAAATTGATTATTTCGTTTTAAGTTTTGAACTGTGGTGAATGTAAAATTTCCTATTGGGTTCGATTAATCGATGAGAGGAGACTAGACTTGAGCTGCTCTAACTTTGCTCGCCACTCTCTGCCTCGCAGCAACCTGGGCAACAACCTGTTCCCCGGGCTGCCGCCCGCGGGGCTGGAGCGCCTGCTGCACCTCAAGACCTTCAACAACCCCAACCTGCGCGAGTTCCCCTCGCCCGGCCACTTCCCGCGCGTCCAGACCCTCGTGCTGTCCTACGCCTACCACTGCTGCCCCTTCCTGCCCCTCATCCCCGCCGAGCCGCCCGCCAGGGTGCCGCTGCACGAGTCCGTGCTCTTCCCCACCGACAACGAGTTCGACATGAGCCTCTGGAACTCGTCGCTCACCGACATCTGGCCGCAGCTGCGTGAGTACCCGCACAGTGGGCCAGCAGACCGGTGGAGGCGGACAAAACTCGAGACGCGCTTTGAGCTCCAGAGTCGCTAAATGGGACTCGAACCGAACGTGTGACCCCACCAATGGATTGCTCTCCGAACGAGGAGTCCATTGGTGGGGTCACACGTTCGGTTCGAGTCACGTTTAGTGACTCTGGAGCTCAAAACGCGTCGAGAGTTTTGGCCGCCTCCACCGGCTTTCTGGCCCACTGTGGGTTTGCAACCCTTTCGACTGGTGCATTGCTGGAATTTTTCCCCAATGTTTTCTCTCCCTCCCGCAGAGAACCTCTCGGACAAGTTCGGCACGCAGATCAACGAGCTGTGGGACAGCTTCGGCGCCGACTTCACGTACCCGGGCAACCTGCCGGCCTACGTGGAGGAGTACTTCGAGGAGCAGGAGAGCAGGCAGCAGACGCAGGAGTCGACGGGCAGGATCCAGTGCCTGCCCTTGCCAGGCAAGTCGGGCCGGATCCAGGGACAGTCTCAGGGTGGCGGGAAAGCTCGTAAAAGTTGCCCACCCACAAGGGCAAAATGGTTGCCTACCTCTCAGGCGGCGCCATCCCCCTGGCAGGTCCGCGCCGAAGCAGCCCAAGAAGTACCCGATGTCGGTGGCCGCCGCGAACTTGCTGCCATCTGTCACGACTTTTCGGTCCTTTGTCCGTTTTTCCCGGTTTTTCCGCTTGCGCGGTCCGCGGCGGTCCGCCCCGCCGGGCTCGCCGGTTCGCCTTTTTGCGGGCTGTCCGTCGGAAGCCCCCGCGCCCCGCGCTCATTGGCTGCCGATGATCGGGGCGAAGGGCGGCCGCGCCCCGTCTCTCTCGCACGCGAAGGGCCCTGGGGCGCGTCCCAGCGGTGCGAGGGGGACGCACGGACCGCGTTCGGAATCATCAGGCGACCACGCCACTGCCATGGCAGCGACGACTGCGGTTCGGGAAAACGGACTGCATTCGGAGACATGCAATTTATGGAAGGGGAGGGGAGGGAGCTGGCGGGCACTCGTCCAATGAGCAAAACCACGGACCGGATTAACTCCCCCCCCTCTCTCTCTCTCTCTCTCTCTCTCTCTCTCTCTCTCTCTCTCTCTCTCTCTCTCTCTCTCTCTCTCTCTCTCTCTCTCTCTCTCTCCGCCCGTCGTGTGCATAGCTCCTACCTGTCGGGGACACCCACCCCGACCTACCCGCCGGGTTTCCAGAGCGCCGCGTCCAGGTCGACCAAGTTGGGGCGCTTCATGGCTTCGCCCATCTTTGCTCCCGTTTCCGGACGGCCAGAGTAATATAGCGTCGCTTTAAAATCTCTCCCCCCCCCTCACCCCCTTTCACTTGCACCGCCTCTCTCCGCCCCCTCCGCGAGCAGGACCGGGCGATCTTCGGTCGGTTCGCAGCGCGTCCCACCCGGGCTGCGTTGACTCTCTCTCTCTCTCTCACACCACTACTCCTCTCTCCACTCTCCTCTCTCTCTCCCTCTCTCTCTCTCTCTCTCGCTCTTCTCTCTCGACTCTCCCCCGTCTCTTCTCTCTCTCTCTCTCTCTCTCTCTCTCTCTCTCTCTCTCTCTCTCTCTCTCTCTCTCTCTCTCTCTCATGACCCTCGGGTAATGAGTGTCCGAGGCCTCCGCGACCTCGGCCGGCCGTTCGCCTCGTGTCAAGGCCGCGCACCGCCTGCAGCCGGCCTCACTCTGCCTCTCTCGCACTCGCGGGGCGGTCCGAGTGTCCGTGGGGGTGCGAGAGAGACGGCGCGTGCTTTATGAACACGGGCGTGCCAAGTCGCGGGCCGCTCTCTCTCTCTCTCTCTCTCTCTCTCTCTCTCTCTCTCTCTCTCTCTCTCTCTCTCTCTCTCTCTCTCTCTCTCTCTCTCTCTCTCCGCCCGGCCACGGCCCAGCCGCCCCATCCGGCCAGGGCTATTCTTTTCCCGGAACGCGCTTCCTAACCCACCACTATCTGTCTCTCTCGCACCCACTCGGGCCGCCCCACGAGTGCGAGAGAGACAGCGCGACCAGAGCGACTCCGCCCCGCCAGACGGGGCTCTCAGTACCGGCCGTTGCCGTCGGCAAAAAAGGAGCGAGGAATGAGCGCCAGCCGTGCAGTGCTGAGCGCATTCCGAAACGGAGCGCTGTCGCTCTGTCTCTGTCGCACTCACGGAGCGTTCCCTAGGGGTGCGAGAGAGGCAGAGCGAGCGCCATTGCGGACCCAGCCTTGCCGTCGATGTCGAACAACCACCTAACACCTTAACCTTTCTCCCGTCACAGTTTTATATTCAATATTTTCGTCCGAAATATGAAATTCCTCATTGTTCAAAAATTTAACTTATATGTTAATTGCGTTGTGGTAATTGGTCCTCCAGGCCCGTTCCTGCCGTGCCAGGACCTGTTCGACTGGTGGACGCTGCGCTGCGGCGTCTGGGTCGTGTTCCTGCTGGCCATGCTGGGCAACGGCACCGTGGTCTTCGTCCTCGTCTTCTCGCGCTCCAAGATCGACGTGCCGCGCTTCCTCGTCTGCAACCTGGCCGCCGCGGACTTCTTCATGGGCGTGTACCTCGGTGAGGACTTGGGCACACAGTGGGCCGGAAGACCGGTGGAGGTGGCCAAAACTCTCGACGCGTTTTGAGGTCCAACGTCTCTAAACAGGACTCGAACCGAACGTGTGACCTTACCAGTGGATTCCTCGTTCGGAGAGCAATCCATTGGTGGGGTCACACGTTCGGTTCGAGTCCCATTTAGCGACTCTGGAGCTCAAAACGCATCCGGGACTTTGGCCGCCTGCCGTTGTCCGGAAACGAGCACCAGGCCAGATTGTACATTGTAATTGCCCGCAGGGTTCCTGGCCGTGGTGGACGCGTCCACGCTGGGCGAGTTCCGCATGTTCGCCATCCCCTGGCAGATGTCGGTGGGCTGCCAGCTGGCCGGCTTCCTGGGCGTGCTCAGCGCCGAGCTGTCCGTGTACACGCTGGCCGTCATCACGCTGGAGCGCAACTACGCCATCACGCACGCCATGCACCTCAACAAGCGGTACGCCGGGGAAGTCTAAAATCCCGGAAGCGCGTTGAGCTGCAGAGTCGCTGAATGGGACTCGAACCGAACGTGTGACCCCACCAATGGATTCCTCGTTCGGAGAGCAATCCATTGGTGGGGTCACACGCTCGGTTAGAGTCCCGTTTAGCGACTCTGGAGCTCAAAACGCGTCTAGACTTTTGGCCGCGCTTGCGTGACCTCGCTGACGCCGCCTGCCCGCAGGCTGTCCCTCCGCCACGCGTCCTACATCATGGCGTGCGGCTGGGCCTTCGCGCTGGTGATGGCGGTGCTGCCGCTCTTCGGCGTGTCCGACTACCGCAAGTTCGCCATCTGCCTGCCCTTCGAGACGACCACGGGGCCGGGCAGCCTGGCCTACGTCGTGTTCCTCATGGTCATCAACGGCGTGGCCTTCCTCATCCTCATGGGCTGCTACCTCAAGATGTACTGCGCCATCCGCGGCTCGCAGGTGAGTTCCTTTTTTTTTTTAGTTTTCCAAAGGTTTTCTTCTGTGTGGATGACGTGAAGCGGGGCCTAGCCCGTAATGGTAATGGTAACGGGGCGTCTGGGAGGTAGGCCCGCCCGTCGAGCGCGGCTGCGCGGTGGAGCGAAGGTTGCCTACCCGCCAGGCGCTTAGTGGTAATGGTAATGGTCGAGCAAGCAGTGCTGCACAGCGGTCCAGAAGACAAGCGCAGGGGGCCAAAATTCCGGACGTTGTTTCCGTTGCAGGCGTGGAACTCCAACGACTCCCGGATCGCCAAGCGCATGGCGCTGCTCGTCTTCACGGACTTCCTGTGCTGGTCGCCCATCGCCTTCTTCTCGCTGACGGCGGCCTTCGGGCTGCAGCTCGTGTCCCTGGAGCAGGCCAAGGTACGGCCGCACGCGCTCTGCCTCACGGGGCGGCACACTGTGGGGCGTCCCGTAAGGGTGCGAGGCTGGTGTTACACCTTCCGTTGCTGCAGGTGTTCACGGTGTTCGTGCTGCCGCTCAACTCGTGCTGCAACCCGTTCCTCTACGCCATCCTCACGAAGCAGTTCAAGAAGGACTGCGTGCTCATCTGCAAGGCCATCGAGGAGTCCAGGGTGACGCGGGGCATAGGGCGCTGCAGGCACTCGTCCAACTTCAGCAACCGGCAGACGCCGGCCAACACCAACAGCCTGGTGGACCGCTCGTCCAGGGAGCACCCGCACCCCACGCACCCGCACCCCAAGCCCTGCCACTGCTCCGCCAAGCTGCTCAGCGACAGGTGAGTCCGGCATCGAGTTTTTTCCGCACAGTGGGCCAGAAGGCCGGTGGAGGCGGCCAAAACTCTAGACGCGTTTTGAGCTCCAGAGTCACTAAATGGGACTCGAACTGACCGTGTGACCCCACCAATGGATTCCTCGTTCGGAGAGCAATCCATTGGTGGGGTCGCACGCTCGGTTCGAGTCCTATTTTGCGACTGTGAGGCTAAAACTGCGTCTTCTAGCATTTTGGCCACCTCCGGTCTTCTGGCAAATCCACTGTGCCGCCGCCGTCGTATTCCTCTGCGGCGGCAAACTTCAAGTGTGCTTCCCTGCTTGTCCGTGCAGCACCGGGTCCGGGTCGCGCGCCGCGGACGGCGCCGCCCCCGCTGGCCGCGCGGCGGGCGGCGGACACCGCGGCGCGGGGGCGGCGGGGGCGGCGGGGGCGGCGGACGGGGCGGCCGCGCCGCGCGTGTGGCTGCTGGGCAAGCTGCAGTGCCTGCTGCTGTGCGCGCGCCGCGACCCCGAGCACCGCCCCCGCTCCGACCAGTACGCCTACCAGATCGCCGAGATCCAGCAGAAGCAGCACAAGCGCGCGTCCTCCGTGTCGTCGTCGGAGAACTTCTCGTCGTCGCGGTCCGACTCCTGGCGGCAGCACCAGCACCACTGCGGCATCCCCATGCGCCTGCTGGACCCCAAGCGGAGGGCCTCGTCCTGGCTGGTCACCAGGAAGACGTCGCAAGACTCCAACCTGTCCAGCTCCCGGTGCGTAGTGCTCGGGCCGCGCAGCGCGCAGTGAGCCAGGAGATCGAGGGATGCGCTCCAAATTCTTTGAGCTCTAGAGTCGCCAAGTGGGACCCGAACCGAACGTGTGACCCCACCAATGAATTGCTCTCCGAACGAGGAATCCATTGTTGGGGTCACACGCTCGGTTCAAGTCCTGTTTAGCGACTCTGGAGCTCAAAACACGTCTAGAGTTTTGGCCGCCTCCACCGGTCTTCTGGCCCACTGTGCGGCGTGGAGTGTCTCCGAGGGAGGCCGTTGCGCTTACCGGCCGCCTTCTCGTCCTCCAGGAACGACTCGTCGGGCTCGGCCACCACGGCCAGCACCAGCACGTGGCGCATGTCGCGGTCCAGCGCGTCCAGCGACATCCGCGGCCCGCTGGGGCCGGGGCCGCTGGGTGCCGCGGCGCTGGGCGCGGGCGCGGCCGCCGCGGGGGCGGGCGTGTCGGCGGCGTGCACCGTGCCGGGGCTGGGGGCGGCGGGCGTGGCCGAGGCCGTGCGGGGGCTGCGGCCCAAGCCGAGGCTCACCCGCCAGTCCGCCGTGCACGACGACCTGCTGCTGGAGCCGCCGGGGTCGCCGGGCCGCCTCACCGTCAGGTCAGTGCAAACCACCACGCCTCTGCGATACAGTGCCGAAACTCAAGGCGCGTTTTGAGCTCCAGAGTCGCTAAATGAGACTCGAACCGAACGTGTGACCCCACCAATGGATTTCTCTTCGAACGAGGAATCCATCACACGCTCGATTCGAGTCCTATTTCGCGACTCTGTAGCTCGAAACGCTTCTAGACTTCTGGCCGCCGCCGGTCTTCTAGCCCACTGTGAGCTAGACGAGCCACACGGCGGCAACCTTGACGGCGTCCTTGACGGCCCTCGCAGGTTCCTGACGACCATCCCGTCCGCGGCGGAGACCTCCATGCAGCAGGACGACGAGCCGGCCGGCGGCGGCCTCGGCGGGTCCGAGGCCGCGGCAGTACGGCCGGCGGCGGGGCCGTGGCGGGCGGCGGCGCGGCGCACGACGGCGACCTGGACGCCGGCGGCCTGCTCGCCATGGAGTCCCCCCTGCTCGTAGACAACTCGCGTGCCAGCCCGGCGGCAGCGCGCGCCGGCCGGCGGCCCTCGGCCATCGTGGTGGCCGGCATGGGGTCCCCCGCCGCGGTGCTCGCGCTCAGGCGGAACTCGCAGCCGGCGCCATCTAGCGGCCGCTTCGGCAACTCGTAGACGGGCTGGGGAGCCACCCCGCGTCCCTGCGTGCGTGTGGCCGCCTCGCCGTCGCCAACCTCGCCGTCGTGACGCCCTCGCTGACGCTCTCGGCGACCAAGGACAACAGAGGCCGCGTCCTCGTGTAGCTTAGTGACCCGGAACGCCGTTCCCTCTGCCAGGGCAGGGCCGCCCGGCGTAGCTCCAGCACGCCCTGCCGCAAAGACATTTCCATGACAAACGCTACCTGAGTAAGATTGTGATGATGGTATTCGTCTCGTAAGATATTGTTTCTCTGCTCAGCCGTCCCATGCCACTACACCTTGATTGCGTTCGCCCTCTCAAGATGTGTAATGTTACCGACGGCTGAGTCGTAACTTGAACCTCGTTAACACAGTAAATTAAGAAAATGACAATAAAAAGACTATACTAGTTGCAACGTATAGAGCTTTTAAAACTTAGTCAAAGCTATAGTAAAATGTATTTTGTATGAATCTTTGTTACCTGTGGGGATCTGATGTTAACTTATGTGAAAAACTCTGCCAAGTATTGTACCTTTGTTGTGTCAGCAGGATGTTGGCAAAGTTTGACATGTTTAGTTTCATGTTGGCTGCATGGTGAATGCGAAAAATATGTTGGAAGGGAAGGCCCGAATGTGTACGCTATAATTGTCTTTCGATGTACTCAAATTACTCTGGAAGTAACTTTAAGGCGCATTGTTGTGTTTCCACTGCTCGAATTCCGATGCCATAACTTTTCATATTTTTTGCATGTTTTCATGTGCAGTGCCATACAAGCTCTCTGGGGCGAGACCCGCACCTCCAATGTGTCAGATGAACTTGACTGACTTTGCATTTGTTTTAGTTCCTAAATCAATACCCGGAGTCAAATGAACCCATTTGCTCCGGAAGCTAACTCCTGCCAGACGAAGGGATTGCTCTCTGTTCTCTACAAACACTGCCGTTTTTATTGTCACGCGACAAATTTCTCAAACATCGTCCACTGCCAAAATGAACACAGTTTTCTGGGAACATGTTTTGTGTTTCCTTGGGAAGTGCTGGGAGTGTCTGTACATATGCTGGACACGACTGCTCTCAGACAGAAATCTGTAATTTTGTTGACCACGCTCTCGGGACCGGGACTGGCTTCGTCATTGTTGTGACTTCGAGACTCCATTGCCCAGCCGACTGGGCTGTGACGGGAACAGTTCTCGAAACAACAACACAAGCTTTGTCATAAAGTCGTACGAAAGCGGACGCTCAAAGTTGTAAAGACTCGTGTCTTTCTTTTGGAAATTTTAAAATCGTTTTTGTTTTATATTAAAACAAAGTTGTTGTTTTTTTTGCCGGAACGTTTTGTCGTGTTGGTTCTGATTTCTGGTTTTGGACACCCTCGGGTGTTTTTGTTTGGAGCTTGCCTGTTGATTTTCGAAGTTAATAAAAAAAGACGGTATGAATAACACGAAAGACGTGTGAACAGTTTCGAGTTGTTCTTTCCCCACCCGACATCTAAACAAACACCAGAAATCCTTTGAGGACTGGTTTTATTTTGCCGCAGGGCTGTTTTGCAATATTTGATAAAAATGAAAATTAAGATAGGCTAACCTACAGCCTATCTTAATTTTCATTTTTATCAAATATTGCAAAACTTTGAACTGCCTCTTCACAAAGTAGTATGGAAAAGTCATATAAAAATTATTCAATAAAAAAAATATTAAAAAAATCTTTGTAACCTTTCGCAAGGCAACTTCGTGCCTTCAAAAAATCTTTCCGCATGTTTCATTTCCCTGTGCCTAAAAATACAGGAGCGAGGCACGCAACGTCGGCAGGGCCTAACCTGACCGCGGCGGGCCAGCGCCAATTTTCCGCGGAAGGCCGCATTTTATTACGCGCGATGTGGTTTCGGAACGCCAAAGTGAGCATATTAGGCGGCGTGCCGAGCCGGGCGAGCGACAAGCGTGACTTATTTTGGCCGTTGCGCAAGCGGCGCACGGTGGGCCAGAAGACCGGTGGAGGCGGCCAAAACTCTAAACGCGTTTTGAGCTCCAGAGTCGCTTAACAGGTCACGAACCGAACGAGTGACCCCACCAATGGATTCCTCGTTCGGAGAGCAATCCAATGGTTCGGTTCGAGTCCCATTTAGCGACTCTGGAGCTCAAAACGCGTCTAGAGTTTTGGCCGCCTGCATCGGTCTTCTGGACCACTGTGAAGCGGACGCCGGAGGGAACTCCAGGCCGTGGCGAGCAGCAGCGCAAATGGCAACACAAATATCCTAGTGAAGTGTCAGCGAGGAGACGAGGGGCCACCGATTAAGTTCCCATCAGCACTGACGACGTGCACATGACGGAGCACCGCGCGACGCCAAACGGGAGCTTATTTTGATTTCTTGATATTTTGCAACAGGAGCACTCACGAAAGAGTCCAAGAAGGCGAAACAAGGTCGATATGACTGTCAAAATAACTTTTCCTTTTGTAAAATTTTTAACTTTTTTAATTGATGGAGGTGTATTGGCTTCAAATGACGTCAGGGGCGAGGGTTTCGTGTTCCATGGGGTGTCAAAAACATTCAGTTAAAAAAAGGAAACGAAACCAAAAGCCGCGACCGTGATGTTGCTGTACTTTTTTATGGTGTACGGTGCCATGTACGAAGAGGTACGGGGGGAGGGGGGAAACGTACACTATACTTCGTTCACCATGTGCGCGCATTGATGCCTTTCACAAAGGAAGTCGGACCCATCGATAGTCGAAAATGCATTCAAACACGACAAAGAGTGATGGATCAAGCACGCGTGTCTTCACGCTGGTGAAACGCTGAGGCTTCACGGTGAGCGTGGGACTAGGCTCCTGAAGCGTGATGAAGCGAAAGCAAACTAAAACTTCTCTGCTGGACCATGTGCCCCTCTGGCACTCAAAGAACGTGACGTCACACGCCTTGGAATGTGAATATTGTCACATTCGTTTGAACGTGAATCAATATTCAACCGAATGTGACGAGTCTCACGAACACTGACGTCACATTCGTGATATTTCCGTGATTTGTTCACCCGATTCGGCGTTACAGTGGCGTGCCGGTCCAGTGGCCACGTGGAGGACGAGCGGAGAGCAATTAGAGCTCTCGACGCGAACAATATTGCCGAGCGCGCTGATAGTATTCTGCCGATATTGGCGGCTGTTCTCGGAAGCAGTAAACAAAGCCCGCACGAAGCCGCTGGGGGTCTCGCTGGGCGCAGTGGGCCAGAAGACCGGTGGAGACGGCCAAACCTCCAGACGCGTTTTGAGGTCCAGAGTCGCTAAATGAGGCTCGAGCCGAACATGTGACCCCACCAATGGATTGCTCTCCGAACGAGAAATCCATTAGTGGGGTCACACGTTCGGTTCGAGTCCCATTTAGCGACTCTGGAGCTCAAAACGCGTCTAGAGTTTCGGCCGCCTCCACCGATCTTCCGGCCCACTGTGCTGGTCCGGACTGACCTTCCCCAACGAACGCGGCGGGCCGAGCCCCGCAGTTAGGGATGCTCCGGAAAGAGGCGAAGCGGGGCCTCGTGCTTGATTTCATTATCGACGGGAACGTTTAGGGCGCTGCCTCGGACGCAGCCGACGGCGTGGTCCCCGGCGTGGCCCCCGGAGCGTGGCCGGCGGCGGCGGCGCGCGGACGCGGCCCCCCACGCCCCCCGCAAATTGCACGGACAGTGATCGCACGGATCACGCCAGCACACTGCGAGTGCTATTCGTCCCCCTCACGCTCGTACGGGGCGCCCGTGAGTGCGGAAGAGACAGAGCGATGGAAACGCTTCTCGGAATCGGCCTGCGGCGCCGTCGCGGACAGCCGGGGAGACACAGCGCCGTGGAGCCATGATGGAGCCTGGCCGGCCGGCGAGCAGGGCCGAGCACATAAATACGGACTGCATCCGCGGGCCGGCTCACTGTCAAGGTGAAGCCCCGCCAACAAACATGAACACCGCCGTCGTCGTCCTCGCCGTGGCCCTAGTGGCGCAGGTAGGCACAGTGGGCCAGAAGACCGGTGCAGGCGGCCAAAGCTCCAGACGCGTTTTGAGCTCCAGAGTCGCTAAGTGGGACTCGAACGGAACGTGTGACCCCACCAATGGATTGCTCTCCGAACGATCGAGGAGCCCTGGTGGGGTCACACGTTCGATTCGAGTCCCGTTTATAGCGACTTTGGTGGTCAAAACGCGTCTAGAGTTTTGGCCGCCTCCACGGTTGTGCCCACACTAGTGAACACTGGTGCTAGTGTAGCTCCAGAAAAACGACACCACGTTTGGTAAAACGTGGTTGCTCTTTGTTGATCAAGGTGTACGCAGCGCCGCCACCCTTCATGAAGAAGTGCATGGAGGACAACGGCGTCACCATGGGTAGGACAACGACACTAGAAAACCTGCAAACCCTGCACTTAGTGCGACTGCGATTTCCACACCGCTCCGTTTCCATTTTAACTTTAAATTTGAATTTTACTTACTGGCCCATATCGCTCGCGCCACAATTAATGATTTGGATATTTTTTCAGAGGACGCGATCAAGTTTGGCAAGACCGGTGAGGCTAGCGACAACATGAAGGTGAGTCTCCCAGGCTTGCTCAACTAATAAATTAAGAAAACCTGCACATTATATTAATTTTTTTCTTTTTTTAATTTGTCCTCCAGTGCAACTTGAAGTGCATGATGCTGGCGGGTGGGGCGGTAAGTACGGGTGGACTTCACTTACTCCCACACTGTTCCTCGGCAAAGCGTTTTTAAAACTTTTTTTTTTTTTTGCGGTGTAGATGAAGGAAGACGGCACCCTGGTGATGGCGCCCATGCTGGAGCACGCGCCGGAGAAGCTCCACGACGCCATCAAGCAGTGCATCGACATCGGTGAGTCCGCCGCGGTGCTGCTGCACTGTGAAACCAGACAAACCTACACTTCCTGCACAGTGGAGGCGGCCAAATTTCTAGACGCGTTTTGAGCTCCAGAGTGGCTAAGCAGGCCTCGAACCGAGCGTGTGACCCCACCAATGGATTGCTCTCCGAACGAGGAATCCATGGGTGGGGTCACACGTTCGGTTCGAGTCCCATTTAGCGACTCTGGCCCTCCAAACCCGGTGGATTGGTCCACACTTGGTTTCACAGAGCTCCTACAGATTTTCAGTTGAAGATATCCTGCTGAGCAATAAGTGTTGATTTGCTTTTCAGAAAAGAGCTCCGACCTCTGCGACGTGGCTTACCGACACAACAAGTGCATTCGCGACAAGGCCACCGACGTAAGATGACCCTCAAGTTGATCCAAAACTTTCTGTCGGTAGTATCGTTGCTAAGACAGTCGTTCTGCTTTGCAGGTTTTCATAGAGTTGGCCGAGAAGAAGGCTGCCATGGCTGCTAGCTAAGCTCGTCCGGAGGTCACTCTCTCTCTCTCTGCATTCGCCCAACGCGACCTCGAACATCATATCCACCACAATCTCCTCGCTGATACTAGATATTTCTGCTACTCACCTCAAACTATAGCTTTTGCTCTGTCTGTACCGCTGACATATGGAAGAATATACGTTATTTGCCAACGAAAGCATCAAGCCCGTAATTGTGTTCACACTGGTAAAACAAAGTCATAAAAATTCTGTTCTGGCAACGGCAGCACTTCCATCAGTTTGAGTACTGTGTGAATTAAGTGTAGGACTTAAAGGCAAAATTTTCGTGCCCTTCCCGAGGCATTCCCGTATAAAGTCCTCAAGCGGCGTGAAGGACTTTTATTCCCTTTCGGTCGTTTGTTACCCCTTTGTTTTACCAGTGCACAAACCCGAAGACGCCCGAACTACGGCACTGGGAAAGGGAGGGACTCGTCGATACCCCGCGCCACGAAGGATGCCCAGGCGCGCGGGGTCTCTCGCGCGCGGGGTATCGCCGGATCGGTTTCCACTGTGCGAACACGGAGAACAAGACGCACAGTGGGCCAGAAGACCGGAGGAGGCGGCCAAAACTCTCGACGCGTTTTGAGCTCCAAAGGCGTTAAATGGGACTCGAACCGAACGTGTGACCCCACCAATGGATTCCTCGTTCGGAGAGCAATCCAATCCATTGGTGGGGTCACACGTTCGGTTCGAGTCCCATTTAGCGACTCTGGAGCTCAAAATGCGTCTAGAGTTTTGGCCACCTCCACCGGTCCTCGCGGCAAAGCACTGACTCCCCGACCGCATTTTATTTCCAGTGTGGCTATCTGCTAGAGGAAGCGGCCTTCACTGCTCTACAGATAAAGCGCGAACACACCACCAAAAGTGGCTGAAAATTCGACGGACAAGAAAGGATAGATATTTAAACGGCGGACAGTCTGCGCGATGAAATTGTGGTGTTTGCTGATAGTGTATATTCTCGCGAACTCGCAATTCATGCGAGACAAAAAAAGTCTTCTGATCTCTTGAGGGCACTCATGAGTGTCGCATGTCTGATAAAATTATTGAAATGTCATCTCTCTCTGAGTAATACGGCCCCAGGTGACGCGTGTATAATGTGCACTATCCGTATGTGCCCCCACAGTGGGTCAGACGACCGGTAGAGGCGGCCAAAACTCTAGACGCGTTTTGAGCTCCAGAGTCGCTAAATGAGACTCGAACCGAACGTGTGACCCCACCAATGGATTCCTCGTTCAGAGAGGAATCCATTGGTGGGGTCACACGTTCGGTTCGAGTCCTGTTTATCGATTTTGGTGGTCAAAACGCGTCTGGGATTTTGACCGCCTCCACCGGCCTTCTGGCCCACTGTGCCCCCCTACCCGTCGATACCCGATGCTCTTCGCGGATAGTGGCAGCGATAAGGGGTCCGATACCCATCAGGTGCGAGAGAGACAGCACCACGCCTGTGGCGTTTAGAGCTGCGAGGTCCTCAGTGGGGCGCGAGCAAGCGCGAGTGCGTCGGTGTCCGGTCGTGGAAACGGCGGACGGGCCTTGCAGGCGTTTTGAGTGCGTCTATCCGGCCGACTGCACTGTGGCAAAAAGGTACGGAAAATTCTGTTATAATTTTTTTGCCGGCATTCTCCGTTGATTCTGGGTAGGATCTGATAGTTTTCTCCGTAGGACCGTACAGAATTCTCCGTAGAACCGTGCAGTCTTCTCCGTAGGACCTGCAAGACTGTAGTCCTACACTGTACGGTTCCACGGAGACTACTGTAAGGTCCTGCGGGGAATATTGACAAGAGGGCTACGGAGAATCACCACAAGCTGTGTACAGAATTATCCGTAGCTTTATGCCGCAGTGTGTGGCCAATGCTGGGGCGCATCGGAAACCATGGCCGCGCTCAGGAAGCTCCTGTGGGCGCTGGGGGTCTTCGCCTTGGCCGGCGTCTACCTGGCAGTGGTGCGTACCGTCCCTCACGGTGCACAGTGGGTCAGAAGACCGGTGGAGGCGGACAAAAGTCTAGACGCGTTTCGAGCTCCAGAGTCGCCAAATGGGACTCGAGCCGAACGTGTGACCCCACCAATGGATTGCTCTCCGAACGAGGAATCCATTGGTGGGGTCACACGTTCGGTTCGAGTCCCATTTAGCGACTCTGGCGCTCAAAACGCGTCCGGGGTTTTGACCGGCTGCACCGGTCTTCTGGCCCACTGTGCGCCGCCGTGCGCACACTGGTCGGGTGTGAAATGGGTTGCCTGCCTGGCGGGCGGCGTCTTCTCCAGGTGACCGTCTCGTACCAGAGCAGGCAGTCGCTCGACGCCGGCAGCGTGCAGGACGACGAGGACGCACTGCTGCAGGCCGGGGCTCGCAGCCTGCTGCTGGACGAGCATGACGTGCTGCAGCACGAGAAGGACGCGCTGCTGCAGCACGAGAAGGACGCGCTGCTGCAGCACGAGAAGGACGCACTGCTGCAGCACGAGAAGGACGCACTGGCACAGCTTGCCAACCTCAACAGAGAGCAACGCGTGCGGGACGCGATGAAGCACCTCACGAAGGAGCTGCCGAAAGACAACAACGGGACGCTGGTCATCGACTTCAACTGCGCGACCAGGAGACACGTCAGACCAGGTGGAGACCTCACGGGCAAAACGAGAGCTTGAAAGCGTGGCGAAATGAATGAATTGAATGACTGAGAGAGTTCCAAGTTCACAGAGGACGACCTGCCCCCGCCTCCATCGGCGTCCTCGGCGCTCTTTGAGTGGGTCTGGGAGGCCAACGAGGCCCTGCACGTGCTCAACGAGGACCTGTTCGGCACGCTGGCGGAGCGGCCGCCGCAGCGCGTCATCGTGGTCCAGGTATCTCCTCCGCCGGCCCGCGGCAGGGTGTCCGGAAGACCGGTGGGGGCGGCCACAACTGTAGACGCGTTCTGAGCTCCAGAGCCGCTAAATGGGTCCGGAACCGAACGTGTGACCCCACCAATGGATTCCTCGTTCGGAGAGCAATCCATTGGTGGGGTCACACGTTCGGTTCGAGTCCCATGTAGTGACTCTGGAGCTCTGCACGCGCCTAGAGTTTCAGCCGGTCACTGTGACGACGTGGCAGGTGCACCGGCGGGGGCGGTACGCGCGCTGGCTGCTGCAGTCGCTGTCCGCGGTGCCGGGCATCGAGTCGGCGCTGCTGGTGCTGAGCCACGGCCACGTGGACGACGCCCTGCTCGGCCTCGCCAGGGAGGTGTGCTTCTGCAGGGTGGCCAGGGTCTTCTTCCCCTGGTCCGTGCAGTTGTGGGGCGACCAGTTCCCCGGGCTGGACTGCGTCAAAGGGTGCGTCTCGGCCGCGATGCACCAGTGTTGAAAGGGTTGCCAACCCCAGCCTGCGTACTACGCAGATCTTGGCTCTCGGCATGCTGAAGTTGGCAACCCTTCAACGCCTGCAGCGTGCAAGTTTTCGCCTCCAAATGTGGCAGCACTGCCCTTGCAGCGAGACTCGTATTGAGGTTCGTCTTGCGCAGGTCCACCGTGAAGGACGGGAAACCGTGCAAGCGGGAGCCTCTGGTCACCGTAGCCAAGCACCACTGGTGGTGGCTGCACAACTTCGTCTTCAACGAGGTGCTGGTCGCCGCCAAGTACAAGGGTAACTTGCCTCGTCATAACGCCGTTCGTCTCGCCACACAGTGGGCCAGAAGACCGGTGCAGGCGGACAAAACTCTAGACGCGTTTTCAGCTCCAGAGTCGCTAAGCAGGGCTAGAACAGAGCGGGTGACCCCACCAATGGATTGCTCGTTCGGAGAGCAATCCATTGGTGGGGTCCGCACGTTTAGTTCGAGCCCCATCTGGCGACTCTGGAGCTCAAAGTGCGTCGGATTTTGATCGCCTCCACTGGTCTTCTGGCCCACTGTGTAACGTGGGAGTTTTCCCCAACTGACGTGGCAACTCTGCCCGCAGGCGTGACCCTGTTCCTGGAGGAGGACATGTACCTCAGCCCCGACGCCCTGCACGTCCTGGACCGCATGCAGGAGGCGGCGCCGGCCGCGGACATGTACATCCTCAACGACAACAAGGGCTTCATCAGCAAGAGCTCGCACAGGCTGGTAAAGTCACTTTTTACTGTTTTTTGAATAGGTCTCTACCTATTTTTAAACTCACGTCCGGGGTTTTAACCGCCACTAAAGCTGTCCAGCTGGCGAGTCCGTGCTGACGGAGCCGGGAAATTCAAAGTGGGCAAAAACTCCCCCGATGCGCCAGTGTTGGGTTGCCAACCTCAGCCCAGGCAACATCTTGGCCTCGCGACCGAGAAGATGCCCAGCAGCCAGGCTGAGGTTGGCAGCCCTTTCGACACTGTCGCGTCACTGAAAATTTTGGTGGCAGCACTGTGAAGACCTAATAACCCAACCAAAGCCTGCTCCGGCTCGCCACACAGGTGCAGCAGGGCCACTGGGTGTACAACTTGGGGCTGGCCCTGCACGAGCGAGCCTGGCCCAAGATCGTGCGGTGTGCCGCCATGTTCTGCTCGTACAACGACTACAACTGGGACTGGACCCTGCAGGCGGTGGGCGCCAAGTGCGTGCCCGGACGCTTCGCCACCGCCGTCATGAGGGGCTCCAGGCTCTTCCACATCGGCAAGTGGTGAGTGGGAGAGAGAGAGGGAGAGAGAGAGAGAGAGAGAGAGAGAGAGAGAGAGAGAGAGAGAGCCGCTGACGTCCTCTTCTCGCAGTGGCGGCATGCACTTCCACGGCGTCTCGGACTGCGACGCGCTGGTGCTCGAGGCCAGGGCTTTGCTGCGGCGGGAAGGCGACCTGCTGTTCCCCGACGCCCTGGTCGTCCAGAAGACCGACAGTGTGCCCGTCATGGGCCAGCCCAACGGGGGCTGGGTCGACCGCCGGGACCACAAGCTGTGCCTGGACAACGCCAACGCCAGCCTGCACCGGTGGGGGAAGGCTCGGTGACACCGAACAATGAAACACACAAACACTTTCGTTTTGCTGGCACTTTCGTAAGAGTAACTTATTTATTTGTAGTCATGTTTACTTGTGATAAGCCTCTGTACAGACTGAATTCGCCGTACATAAATATGTTTTCAAAAAAAAAGGTGTTTCTGCGTTTAATTTGAGGAAGCGCCCAGCAGTTTCTATGAAACTTACGTACGGTCAAAACAGAGAGATAAATGAAGCCGCTGGTCGAGCTCGACGAACTGCACGTAAGCAAAGCGCGAAAAAAAAGATAAAAAACTAAACCGCAGCCGGCCACGTGTCGGGCCCCTTTTTCATCGTCTCGTCTCGCTGTGGAGTAGTGTCGGGTCCGCGCGTGTGACTCTGACGCTGCCGGGGTACCTCGAAGCGATCACCTAATTTCGCGTTCATCCTCGGTGCTTTCAATCGAACGGTTCGGCATTATTGACATTGTTTCTCCGAGCGACTGGATGAGTCGGCGAATGGGTCGGCATCTCGCCGATGGCCTTGCAGATGGCGGCGCGACGGAAACCTTGTTGAGGCTTCCGCCGCGACGCGCGAAATGGCGCCGAAATCACGCGCCAAAATTACGCGCCGAAACTACGCGCCAAAATCACGCGCCAAATTTACGCGCCAAAACCACGAGCCAAAATAACGCGCCAAAACTACACACCAAAATCACGCGCCAAATTTCCCGCCAAAAATACGCGCCAAAAGAAAGAGTTCCGTTTTCTTTGTTCCCCAAATCCGGAGTCGTAAACTCCCTGTTCAACGCGAGCGCACACTTGACCCTGGACCTGCCCGACGAAGCCCCGCGCGAAGAACAGTGCCCTCTGGAGCGTTGACGCGGCACGCGCGGAGAGACAATGGCGCAAAAATAAGTTGAACCCGGGCCGCGGGTATTTTGGGATTTCGGCCAGGATGGCGGCCTCCGATTGGCCGAGCCGTGCCCCGGAAGCCTCTCGGCCAGCCAATGAGCGGCGCGGACGGGGACGGCCGACGGCAGGACGACGACGAGACGACGGCCACCCTCTTGCGCGGAGGCGACCGCCAGTCAGTCAGGACTTAGACGCGCCGGTGGCCGCACGGCTCTTAACCTCAGTGCTCCAAACTCCGTGCTTTGGCACGCTCTTGACACACTGTGCTTTCCACTGCTTGACTCTGTGCGAGTGGCGCTGCGCTTGACGCTCCGTGCTTGACTCTCTGAGGCCGGCACTCTAGGCCTGGCACCCCTGCCTGGCACTCTGTATCTGGCCGAACGGCTTCGCAACACTCGGTGAGCGGGACTCACTGCGCGAGCAACGCTCCCACCGTGTGTTGCCGTCAGCACCCCGGCGGAGGCACCCCAGCATGGCGGCCTTCAGGACCATCCTGGCGGTGTCCGCCGTGCTGCTGGCCGCCGCGGAGGCCAACCTCAGGGCGCCGGCCAACACCAAAGTCCCGACAGAGGCGTGGCTGACCACGGTGAGTGCGCCGACGACCACAATGGATTTGCGCGGCCAAAACGAAAGTCGCGTTTTGAGCTCCAGAGTCGCTAACCAGGACTCGAACCGAACGTGTGACCCCACCAATGGATTCCTCGTTCGGAGAGCAATCCATTTGGTGGGGTCACACGTTCGGTTCGAGTCCCATTCAGCGACTCTGGAGCTCAAAACGCGTCCGGGATTTTGACCGCGGGACTGTTGCTGTTGGCAGCCGGAGCTGATCGAGTTCTGGGGCTACCCCGGCGAGACCCACACCGTCGTGACCGAGGACGGCTACGTCGTGGACGTGCACCGCATCCTGGGCCGCCGCGGCCAGGTCGACAAGCCCCGCCGGAGGAAGACGCCGGTGCTCATCGCGCACGGCTACGGCGCCAGCAGCGAGTGCATGGTGCTCAGGGACAACAACACGCTGGGTGAGGAGCAGCCCCGTGGCACAGTGGGCCAGAAGACCGGTGGCGGCGGTCAAAGTCCCGGACGCGTTTTGAGCTCCAGAGTCGCTGAATGGGACTCGAAACGAACGTGTGACCCCACCAATGGAATCCTCGTTCGGAGAGCATTCCATTGGTGGGGTCACACGTTCGGTTCTGAGTCCTCTTTAGCGACTCTGGAGCTCAAAACGCGTCTGGAGTTTTGGCTGCATCCACCGCCCCTCTGGTCTGGGTCACTGTGCGTGGCCGCGTGCGCCATGGCAGTGGTCTGCTGGAGCTAGGTTCCGGGTTCAACACTCTTCAGCTGCCACATCTAAAGTACTCTGAGGTTAGCTTTGCCAGAGGTGCGCTAACACAGTGACCACTTCGCTCTGCAGCATTCATGCTGGCGAACGAGGACTTCGACGTCTGGCTGGGCAACACGAGGGGCAACTTCTACGGCCGCAGGCACAGTCACCTGTCCTCCGCGGACCAGCGCTTCTGGGACTTCAGGTGAGCCGCGCGAGTCACGAGTCCTGCCTGACGGAAGGGGACTCCAGGATTCGCCGCCCGGCCTGGAGCGCCCGTCAAGCTGAGGGTAGGCAGCCCTGCTGACCAGCGGTGCCGCCGCGTTGCCTACCCTCGACTTCACAGGCGTCCGACGGTACGCGAGGCGGACAAAACTCTAGACGCGTTTTGAGCTCCAGAGTCGCTAAACAGGACTCGAACCGAGCGTGTGACCCCACTAATGGCTTGCTCATCGAACGAAGAGTCCATTGGTGGGGTCACACGTTCGGTTCGACTCCCATTTAGCGACTCTGGAGCTCAAAGCGACGTTGCTGCAGCTGGCACGAGAACGGCGTCTTCGACATGCGCGCCACCATCGACTACATGCTGGCGACGACGGGCGAGGCCTCGGTGGCCGTGCTGGGCCACTCCATGGGCGCCACGTCGCTGTTCGCGCTGCTGGCCGAGATGCCCGAGTACAACGCCAAGGTGCGCGCCGCCTTCCTGCTCGGCCCCGCCGTCTACTTCCACAGCGTGCGCGGCACCTTCAACGAGGTCCGCAAGAGGGCGCCCTGGTCGGAGGTAAGCGAAACCACAGTTAGGGATGTAAAGGCCGGTAATATTACCGGTAAAGAACGGTATAATACGGTAAAATACCGTATTTTACGGAGACCCTGGTAAAATTGGTATTTTTCGGTAATTTTGAAATATTGACTTATTTGAACTTCTTTAGCTTCCATACGATTAGACAGGACGTGCGGACTGAAAATAGCGCTTCTTTTGAACTCTTGGTTTGTATCTGCTTCTCGTGCCACCCCGTGTACGTGTAAGACGTCTAGCCACTTAAAATTAATGTGAAGTTAATGTTCTCTTCTTTTGCAAAACTTGTGGAAATCAAAATCCATTTACGCGACCCAAATCTCCGAAAGGCAAATCAAAAACCTTTCTTTGTTGCCAAGGTTCATATAATTTTAACTAACTTAAAATTGAAAAGAGGTAAATCTAGGGGTAGATATTTGTTAGAAATTTGAGCTGAAAAGTGTAATGAACATTGGTATGGTTGTTGGACACCTTGCAGCCTTTAAGGAAAAAAGTTTCTTCATGGAATCGAGACAACTTACTTGGATTACGAGAAAAACGGCGCCCGTTTTGTTAATTCTTAAGTATATTTGGGCTGTTAACTTTGCTGCTCTACGCATTTCTTAATCCAGCCCAGTAGGAATAAGTGAAAAGCAGTCAGATTCAAAATTAATTTAGGAGGGTCTAGTGGGAGAATAGTTCATATTTTTGACCCACAGGGTCTTTCGTCCTTGTCTATTTCAAATATGCGACATTGTCCTTGAGTCATGATGGTTTGCAACCATGTTTGGAACGATGCGGCCGATAATTAATGATACACCCTCACCCAAATGAACCTCTTTTCCCCCTATTTCCTAAGAAGAACCACAGTTACTTCTTTAAGTCAAGAAAAATCAATTTTACCCAATTTTACCGTATAATACGGTAAAATACCGTATTTTACCGTAATTTACGTAACTTTGAATCTTACCGGTATTTTTGCATCCCTAACCACAGTGGAAGACCGGCACTGGTGGCCAAAACTCTCGACGCGTTTTGAGCTCCAGAGTCGCTAAATGGGACTCGAACCGAACGTGTGACCCCACCAATGGATTGCTCTCCGAACGAGGAACCCATTGGTAGGGTCACACGACCAGTTCGAAACCCATTTAGCGACTCTGGGGCTCAAAACGCGTCTAGAGTTTTGACCGCCTCCACCGGTCTTCTGGCCCACTGTGCGGTGTAATCTTTTTGGAACTAGTCCAGCGTCCTTGCTCGCGTTGCAGCGCACCCTGAGCCTCATCCGACTGGAGAACTTCATGACCCGAGCGCCCTACCCGAGGCTGTGTTTCTCCAACCTGGGCGGCGGCATGACCATCAACCCCAACTGCATCAGGGTGTTCACGGACGCGCAGGGGCCCTTCTTCAACACCAACCACAACGTGAGTTTCGAAACGCCGTGGCCGACACTCAGCCAGCACACGACGCAACCCAACCAACGAACCAACCAAATCGTCTGGAGGTGGTGTTGGTCATTCCCATTTCGTCATTCCATTCCAAAATTTTGAAAAGTGGAAACTGACCGAAAAAAAAATAGCTAGCCACCGCCGGTATTTGAACCTGTGCCTCGTCTGCTTCCAGACGTACCTGCCCATTCTGCTGCGACACTGGCCGGCCGGCACCTCCGTGGGGCAGCTGGCCCACTTCATGCAGCTCATCGTGAAAGGTAAGCGACAACTCGAGAGGCTGAACCAATCACAGGAGCACTTGAACCATCCAATGACGTCACCATAACGAATCGCAGAAGCGCTTGAACCATCCAATGACGTCACTCTGACGTCACCGACCGCCAGTCTTCGTGCGACAAGTCTGTCCCGACGCACCTCTTCCAAAAATTGTGTTTGTTGTTGTTTGCAGGTGACGGCTTCAAGAAGTTCGACCACGGCCCGGAGCGGAACCGCGTCCTGTACGGGACAGCGTCGCCGCCGCCCTATAACCTGACCAACGTGCGCAGCCCCTGCTTCTTCTACTACTGCGACAACGACTACCAGGCGAACCCCAAGGTAGGACCTGGGTTCGACTCCCACCATCACAATATTTTTTTTAGCGGTCAGGGCAGTTATAATCCACGCACAGTGGGCCAGAAGACCGGTGGAGGCGGCCAAAACTCTACACGCGTTTTGAGCTCGTCGCTAAATGGGACTCGAACGAGGGGGTCGGTTATCCGATGTACAGCAAATTGGTTATCCGCTATCCGGATAACCAGAAATTTCGAAGTAATTTGGGGAAATTCTGAGGTAATCCGGGGTAATCCGGCGCAATCCAACGGTAATCCTGGAAATTTTTCGATGTAATCCGGAGGTAATCCGCGGGTTATCCGGGGTTATCCCTATCCGATGTACACAAAATTTCTCAGTCGTTTCCCCCTCGGGCTCGAACCGAACGTGTGACCCCACCAATGGATTGCTCTCCGAACGAGGAATCCATTGGTGGGGTCACACGTTCGGTTCGAGTCCTGTTTAGCGACTCTGGAGCTCAAAACGCGTCCAGAGTTTTGGCCGCCTGCACCGGTCTTCTGGCCCACTGTGCGCCGCCTCTGTCATGGTGGTCGGTCGCAGGACGTGCGGCGCCTGGCCGCGGACGTGCCCGGCACGGCGGGGCTGTTCCGGACGCCGGCGCGGGCCTTCAACCACCTGGACATCATGTACGAGGAGGCGGCCGGCGAGCTGGTGTACAAGAGGCTGCTCCGGGACATCGCCAAGTACCGAAATTAGTCCCCCGAGTTCGACGGGTCGACATCGGGCTGCGGCGCGGCAGGCGGGAGCAGTGGTGTGCGTGGGTGTGCGCTGGAAGTGTGACACGGCGGTCAAGCTGCGCTTTTCGCGTGCTCTAGGCGGAGTGCGTCGCGGTGTGCCCACCTTCCGGGCGGACGACGGTGTGCCCCCCACGCGCACGCCACTGGGAGTGGCCACCACACTGGCGCGGCGCGCGAAGGCTGACCCAGCCGCGGATTGTAAATCGTGAATTACCTGTCAGCGCTCACTTCTTCTCCGGGACGCCTTCAGCCGGTGATGGATCACCGCGAGAAGAAGTGCCGAAAACAATTAAGCCGAAAAAAGTGGCTGTCGCGCGACGCCGTGTTCGTCGCCGGCTTCCGGGCTGCACTGCAGGGTCGCCAACCTCGGGGTACCTCTCGGTGTCGTCGGATTGAGAGTGTTTACGGTGTGTGCGCTGCGGGTTGCGTTCGCCGCCTGGGCTTGTTGCTGAACCAGTTGGCAGTGCGTCAGGGCCGGGCCGCGCCGCCCCGCGCTTCGCCGACCGGCCGCCAGAGGTCGCTCGCGGCGGCGGGGACCCCGCCACTCCACTGGGAAAGACTGCGATGCTGCGCCTGTCGAAGAGCCGGAGCCGCCAGCCGCTAGTGTGGCGACGACTCGAGCCTCCACCATGACGGCCATCGCTGTCTCCTCGCGGGGCGTCGTCGGCGTCCTGGCGTGCTGCGCGGCCCTGCTGCTGGCCGCCGTCGACGCCAAGGTGTACGGCCGCTGCGACCTCGCCAAGGCCCTGCGGAGCAAGGGCGTCCCGCTGCAGGTGAGCACGCCGCCGAGGACCGAGACGGCCGAGCGTCGAAAGGGTTGCCAACCTCGGCCTGGCAATGCACAAAACTCTCGACGCGTTTTGAGCTCCAGAGTCGCTAAATGGGACTCGAACCGAACGTGTGACCCCACCAATGGACTGCTCTCCGAACGAGGAATCCATTGGTGGGGTCACACGTTCGGCTCGAGTCCCATTTAGCGACTCTGGAGCTCAAAACGCGTCCAGAGTTTTGTCCGTCTCCACCGGTCTTCTGGCACACTGTGGAGCGATGCCGGTCGCAGGGGCGTATTTTACTCCCGGTTCCTATGCCCTACGTGCTTTAAGGCCGACCCCCATTTGTTGTTGTTGTTGTTGTTGTTGTTGTTGTTGCGCTTTGTTTTTCCCCTGCACGTAATCAGGGCCGCCATCGTCGCCCACGTCACCGCCATTTCCATGAACTCCACTCCGCGTGCGCGTAGCTGCGCGGCGCTTCGCGTCGACGAGAACGTCACCTCCGCGACGATGGTATCGGACGCGGAAGAGCCACGACGGCGTCCTGGCGGCGTCCTGGACAGCCATGCAGACTCTGCGCTGATTTCAGGAAACATTTTCCGCCTTGGGTGGGCGCGCTCGGCAAGCCCGGCAAGTCGGTCTGTCTGCAGCTTGTGTGTGGGCGTGGCCCTGACTCGCGCGACCACCTTTGGCGCCTCCCGACAGTGTTGCCACATTCGCAGGCCCAAATTCCCACGCTTCACCAGTGCCTCTCAAGGGTTGCCAACCTCAGCCTGCCTACTGGGCAACGTCTCCGTAGGCAAGCCAGGCCTGGTTGGCTGGCAGGCTCAAGTTGGCAACCCTTTCGAACACGGGCGCAACGTGGGGTTTCGTGTCTGCTTGTGTGGCAGCACTGCCTCCCGACGAGGGCCCACTACACTAGAGTCATTGCCCGCTTCTGCCGCCTCGTTCCGAAGGACCGTTCCGTCGCTCTCTCTCTGTCGCACTCACGGGACGAGAGAGACGGAGCGAGAGAGACAGCGCCACGGAACTCGGCTGCTCTCTGTCTCGTCTCATCTCGCGTCGCGATCTTGTCGTTGTGTTGCCTGGTTTTCCCCGCGCGGCTCGATGAGAAGAGGTTAAGGCCAGCGGCTGAAATCCCCATTGCTTGGCATGCAGTGTGCTGGGCTGGCGTGCCACAGTGGGCCAGAAGACCGGTGGAGGTGGTCAAAATCCCGAGAGCGTTTTGAGCTCCAGAGTCGCTGAATGGGACTCGAACTGAACGTGTGACCCCACCAATGGATTGCTCTCCGAACGAGGAATCCATTGGTGGGGTCACACGCGCGATTCGAGTCACTTTTAGTGACTGGATCTCCAAACACGTCTAGAACTTTAGCCGCCGGCGCCGGCCTTCTGGCCCACTGTTCGTGCCTCAAGAACTTGGTCCTTCCCTCGTGACGGATTCCCCGATGAGGGAAGTTGCAAGACGAGGCTGCGACTCACAGTGGTGCCGCTCTTTCAGGACATCGCGACGTGGGTGTGCATCGGGGAGCGCCTGTCCTCCATCGACACCTCCACGGCCACGGACCCGGACGACGACGTGGACGGCACGGTGTACCACGGCGTGTTCCTCATCAGCGACAAGTGGTGGTGCGACAAGGGCAGCAGGGGCTGCGGCGTCACGTGCGAGCAGATGAAGCGCACCCTCGAGTCTAACATCGACTGCGCCAAGAAGGTGAGGTCGCGGGTTCAACTCCCTCCACCCTCCCTTTTTTTTTCAAAATTTTTGGAATAATTTTTTTAAAAGTTCAAAAAGTCCTCGAAATTTTTTATTCTCTTCAATAACTTGTAGTGTTTTTTACTTATTTGTATTTTTTTGCTGCAGGTGTTTACCGAGACCAAGCGACTGAAGAAGAACGGGTTCATGGCTTGGGAGACCCCCTACAACGACTGCCAGCAGCCCGAGTCCTACGTCCAGGGCTGCGCGGGACTCGAAGAGGACCCCAACGGCGAGGACCTGGACCTCACGGTGTTCCAGCGCTCCGGGCTTCCTAAGGACGCGTAGCCGGCAATCAGCGGCCGACCAGCCGAACGCATCGCGGCTCGACATCGAACTCATTTGCATCTCAACACCGACCGACTGATAGAAATAATAACCCTGTTTGTGGCTTCAACGACAGTAAAAGCTCCCGTCGACTATTTATTCCAATCAGTGTCTTTCATTTTGACTTTCCGAACAATCCTTTCGTCGCTCCGTCTCTCTCGCACTCACAGGACGTCCCGCACTGTTCCGAAGAACGTTGGGGCCGAATGGGTTGCCTAAGCGCGAGGCGCAGTTTACCACTTTTGTCTAAGAATCCGATTTGTCAGCAATTCATATGGAACCTTCCCATGGGTCTAAGAACTAGATAACCGGCGCTCAATGGTCTTTGACGCATTCTGTCTGACAAGGAAATGACTATTCCCCAACGCCAGTTGGGTCTCGGTCCCGGTGCGAAGGAGAGGCTGTGGACGATGGGTGGCCTACCTACCCGGCGAACGCTCAAATACTTTCTGGTTTTCACACGAAAGAGACTGTTTAAGGCCCCAACGGCTCACGAAATAGTGTCAGCAGTCATTGGGGAGTGCTCCAGCACAACATACTCGAATTTGGAATTTTGGCCCATAACGGTAGCCTTAACAATCTTTCGACGAAAATGGTCGACCACCTCCGATTTGTCTGAAATTCGTATTGAACCTTCTCATGGGTCTTAGAAACAGATTGCCGGTGCCCACTAGCCTCTGGCACATTTATTTTGGTCCGAAAATGACTTTCCCCGCGACGCTAGTTGTTTCTGGTGCGCTGTGGACGGTGGGTTGCCTACCTATCCGGCGCAGGCTGAAACACTTTCGGTTTTGTGTTATGTCATTTTTTGATGAAAAGCCCTTTGATAGGTTGTGATGAATTGTGTTCCCAGATGGAGTGGTGAAGGACAAGAGAAAACAAACAACTCAGGTTACTCAATAAATATATTGCTCCATTTTTCCAGCAGTCGGCCTCGCAGGGCCACGTCTCCCAATAAATTACGTAAAAAAGCATTCAGAAACAAGCAAGTTACGGAAAACAAACACAATTTTTATTCTGTACAGAATGAAAAAAAAAACAACAACAAATAAATTATTGCAAGGAGCCCTACCTAAACAGCAGCCCAGGTGCAACCCGCGGTCTCCCCTCAAATCTTAAAGTAAACTGAATATGTACAAATGCGAGTCTGGGGGGCTGTACACTGGAGGAGGTCGGTCAAGGCCGAGGCCTGCTTCGCCCGGGTCGTCGGGGACCTGGGGGGACCTGGGGACTCGGAGACGGGGGTCGCGACCGGGCTTCGGGCTTGGCTGTCCCTTCCCCCGCGAGGCGAGGAGGCCGACGACGACACCAACACGGCGTCGCGGAGGAGAACGAACGGGGTCCGCGGCCCCCGCGGCAGGCAGGGCGAGGGTGCATCAAGTTTGCTTTGGCTTGGCTTCACCCAGGTGGGGGTCCCGAAGGGGGTCCCGAAGAGGGCCCCAAAGGGGGTCCCAAAGGGGTTCCCAGCGACACGCCGGACGCACCCCGGCCGGCATTGCGTCGCGCGGGGGTCGCGGGGGCCCAGGAGGGGGACGGGACAGCCAAGGGTTACAAGTTGATCCTCAGAATAGAAATAAATACACAGCCATGTTTATATGTACAACAGAGATGTAATACATCGGGGCTGCCCCATGCCGCGCGTACAAAAATACCACCAATTTCACGTATGTAAAAAAAATATCAAAATATCACATATGTCGAATGCGTCGTTTCCACACTATCTTTACACCTTTTTCTCGCTCAGTCCAATTTCTTGCTCGTATTCGCGCAGCCCCACAAATACTTAAAAATAGTACGTTACACTTGATCACATAGAACACTTTGTACAAATCATGATTAACACTATTAACACTACAAAATATCTCTTACAGCATGATAATCAGAGCAATAACTCGAAATGGAGCATCACGCTATTCACAGTATAGTACAAAATCGACCTCCCACTTCAATATCATCATTTACACAGAAAAATAATCTTACTTTTTGGTGTCCATTGAAAGGTCTTAGGACGCGTCCAATACTGGCGGTGTGGGCCCGTGGGCCGGTCCGCCGCGCCTAGCACCCTGGCTCCAACTGGGCCTTTGTGGTCTGGCCGTGGATTTCCTCAATGTGCCACACTTTCGACTAGCAACCAAATTACTTGATCAACACGAAATCGCGAAACCCACAGAAGGCGGGGGGCAAGTCCCACCGCCACCAGACCACTGAGAAGCAGGCCGTGCGTTTTTACAAGAGGCCCCTCCCCCCACCCTTCGGCCCGTGCTTCCCGCCTGTCTCGGCAAAACAACAAAAAATGGAGCACTTCAAGTACAAAAATCGGGAACGACTGCCATTAGAGCCCACGGTTATCACTTTCCTACCGTGGAAACAAAAACGTCCCTAGCTCATGCATCAACAACAACGCAAACTAAATTTTGAGCGAGACGAAGGACGGGACGGCGGTGGACGGCGGTGGAGGCGAACAAACCTCTAGACGCGTTTTGAGCTCCTAAGTTGCTAAACAGGCCTTGAACCGAACGTGTGACCCCACCAATAGAGTCCCCGTTCGGAGAGCAATCCATTGATGGGGTCACACGTTCGGTTCGATTCCCATTCAGCGACTCTGGAGCTCAAAACGCGTCTCGAGTTTTGTCCGGCCCCACCGGTCTTCTGGCCCACTGCGCGGGGCCTCGGTCGGGGCGGCGCGGCGCCGGGCGGCTCAGAGCAGGGCGACGTGGGGCTGCTGCAGCGGCGGCAGCGACGACAGCGACGGCAGCGTGCCCTTGTGCAGCATGCTCTTGAGGGTGGCCACCTCGGAGGCCAGCCTCGCCAGCTCGCTCTTGAGGTGCGCGTCGTCCTGGGGCTCGTGGCCGAGCGCGCCGAGCGGGCCGAGGCCGAGCGCGCCGAGCCCGTGGCGCGCGTCGTTGCCGCCGTAGCCGCAGTCGCCCAGGGAGATGCCCGAGTCCCTCTCGTCGCTGGAGCCCTCGGCGTCCCAGGGCGGGCTGGCGCGCGCCGAGTCCGCCTCGTGGTGGTGCGGGTGGTGTCCGCCGGCCTCGCCCTCCGTCTTGATGGCCTGCAGCGCCTGCAGCGACAGCAGCGCGCCGGCCGCCTCCTTCTCGCCGAGGTGCGACTTGTGGCGCAGCTTGTGCGGCAGGCAGTTGTTGTTGTTGGCGGGCGCGTCGCGGGCGTCCCTCGCGTCCCGCGCGTGCAGCGTGGCCTCGTCGCCGCTGCCGCCCGACAGCTCGTGCTCGTAGGGCGACGGCGCGCGCTCCAGGACGCGGTCGTGGCCGCGCTCGTGGTTGCGCTCGTGGTTGCGGTCGTGGTTGCGGTCGAGGTTGCGGTCGTGGCCGAGGTCGTGGCCGCGGTCGCTGGCGCGGTCGAAGCCGCGCTCCAGGCCGCGGTCGTCCCTGGCGCCGCGGGACAGGTTGAGGGCGGCGGCCGCGCCGGCCGGGCTGGCGGGGTACAGGGTCGGCAGCGGGTACGGGTACGGGGGGAAGTCCTGGTCGTCCGGAGGGCCGCCGCCGGTGGCCGCGGGGGCGAGGGGGCCCAGCCCCAGCAGGGGCAGTGGCGGCGGCGGCGAGCGCGACCCCACGGGTTGGTGGATGACGGACGTGGGGATGGGGCTGGGCAGGCTGGGCAGGCTGGGCAGGCTGGGCTGGTGCGGCGGCGGCAGCGCGGGTAGGTGCAGGGGGTGGGGCACGCCGGCCACGCCGGGGTGCGGCCCGGGCCCGGCCGGGTGGGGGCTGACGGCGTGCGGGGGTTGCGGCCCCGCGTGCTGCCCAGTGTGCTGGCCGGCCGAGTGCGGCGACAGGGGCGGCGCCACCGACAGCTTGGGCCGCTTGGCCTGCCCCAGCACCTGGTCGCTGGACGGCAGCGACGCCAGCACCTGCTCCACGCTCAGCACGCTCTCGCCGCTGATGCCGTACTTCTCCCTGATGGCCGTGAGCTGCGCCTTGAGCACGTGGTTCTCCTTGGACAGCTCCACGACGCGCCGCTCCAGGATCATGTCGTTGAAGCGCCGCTTCTCCCTGGAGCGCTTGGCCGCCTCGTTGTTCCGCCGCCGCCTGTCCCAGTAGCTGTCGTCCTTCTTGTTGTCCGGGATGAACTCGCGCTGCTTGCGCTGCGGGTACGCGCTGTTGTCGGGGGACTGGCTGCGCGACGGCGGCGACATCTGCATCTGCTGCAGCTGCTGCATCTGCTGGCCGCCCAGCGGCGACGGCGGCATGTGGGAGTGCGGGGACATCCTGCCTTGGCTCAGCCCGTTGGGGTGTCCGTTCTGGTGTCCGTTGGGGTGTCCGTTGGGGTGTCCATTGGGGTGTCCGTTAGGGTGTCCGTTCTGGTGTCCATTGGGATGTCCGTTGGGGTGTCCGTTGGGGTGTCCGCTGGGGTGTCCGTTGGGGTGTCCGTTGGGGTGTCCGTTGGGGTGTCCGTTGGGGAGTCCGTTAGGGAGTCCGTTGGGGTGTCCTCCGGGCGGGCCGGGCGGCGCGGCGCAGAACAGGCCGCTGGGCGGGCGCGCCAGGGCGCTGTTGACGGTGATGGTGGGTCCGGGCCCGGAGCTCTGGCGCGGCGGCGAGCTGCCGGGGGTCTCGCCGTTGACGGGCGATCCCCCTTGTCGGGACACCAGCTCGGCAACCATGGCGCGCTGTCTCACAGCATCTGCAACAACGAAACGGAACACCGTTAGTGGAAGGCAAGTCTAGCGGCTAGAGAAAGTACGGGCCGGGCCAGCCTCGCCTCGCCGCGCCGGTATGTAGGTGAGCGCCTCACGGCCAGGCAGGCAGCCAGGCAGGCAGCCAGGCAGAGCCAGGGTGAAGGGCGGCGCACAGTGGGCCAGAAGACCGCTGGAGGCGGACAAAGCTCTAGACGCGTTTTGAGCTCCAGTGTCGCTAAACACGCCTCGACCCGAACGAGTGACCCCACCAATGGATTCCTCGTTCGGAGAGCAATCCATTGGTGCGGTCACACGTTCGATCCGAGTCCCATTTAGCGACTCTGGAGCTCAAAACGCGTCTAGAGTTTTGGCCGCCTCCACCGATCCTCCGGCCCACACGGGGGCACAACCGCAAAAAAAAGTTTCGCCAAAACGGTTTACACAGGGGCTAGGCGACCGCTCGTAGGCAGGCTGAGGTCGGCAACCCTTCCGACACTGGTGCACGTTGGGAGGCCTGCCTGCCGGCGCTCCGCGCTCAACGCGGCGGGTTGCCTTCGCTGGAGCACGACCCACATATCACGGCGTGGCGAGGCGGGGCGGGGCGGGGCGGGGCGGGGCTGATCCCGTTTCCGACCGTTAAAAAGCGTCATTGGGCAGGAACAAGCAGATTGGCGCCGCGCGCGAAACGCCGCGAATGGTGTCATGTCGCCGCGCGTTTCCTGGCACGGCGGACAGACGAACAGACAGACGGACAGACAGACAGACAGACAGACAGACAGACAGACAGACAGACAGACAGACAGATAGGCGCAAGCCCACGCGCGGCCCAGGAGATTAGTCGGGGATTTGTGGAACAGGAAAAGGAGGCCGCGGCTGATGGGTTGTCGCTTGGCTCGCGTCGTCACCGCGCTGTAAAATAGTCCAGGGTAGTGAAGTCGGTGTCAGTCACCCGGCAGTGCGATAAGCGACCCACACTGTGGCCAAACAGACGGCAGTGGCCATGCCCCGTCGATGACGTCATCGAACGAAAATGGACATCGCGCCAAAAAGTGCCAATGACTTGAGGGTAATTCAGCTGGTCCGCTTCCCCTTTTTTTCTGGCGGCCGCTTTGGCGGGGATCGAACCCGCGTTCCTCGGCGCCGCGACCCCGTTTAGGGGAGCGGTATTCACGCTGGCTACAGTCTGGCTACAGTACGGTGCGGCGTCCCGGTGCCGCTAACGGTCAAGGATGGGAAGTGCGAGCAGCGAAGGCAGCAAGGCGGCACACAGTGGGCCAGAAGACCGGTGGAGGCGGACAAAACTCCAGACGCGTTTTGAGCTCCAGAGTCGCTAAATGGGACTCGAGTCGAACGTGTGACCCCACCAATGGATTGCTCTCCGAACGAGGAATCCATTGGTGGGGTCACTCGTTCGGGTCGAATCCTGCTTAGCGACTCTAGAGGTCAAAACGCATCTGGAGTTTCGGCCGGCGGCGCCGGTCTGCTGACCCACAGTGCACCCCACGCACCCCGCCGCCTAGAACACCGCCCCTCTCCCTGCCGCGCGCCGCGCTCAGCCCGCGGCAAACGTGACTAGCCGCGTCGCCCCCCACTCTGGCCGTCGGCGTGGTGGTGGCGGTGCTGGCCCAGACCCTGGCCGCCACGCCGCTGCGCCGCGACCTGGGTCAGGTGGGTCAGGTTCAACCAGTGGCGTCGCGCGGCCCCCCCCCCCCCTGCCGCCCTCAGTTCGTACGGCGGCCGTGTGGCCCGCCGCCCCCACCGCAGGTAGCCCGCCCCCGCCGCCCCCACCCCCGCAGCCGCGTTACGCAAGCAAGCACGCCGCTGATAGCATGCCGATAACGACACGTGACCAGCTAGAGACATTACGTAAGCGCAGTCCGTTTTGCCCCGCCACTAGAAAAACAACAACAAAAACAAAGGACGGCGGAAATAACATGAGAAGGCGTTCGAGGCTTCCTGGTGATACCGGCAGATGAGAGCGGTGACGTTGTCGGACTGTACTTACAGAGCACTCTCAATTTTAGACTTGGAGGCACAGTGGGCCAGAAGACCGGTGGAGGCGGCCAAAAGTCTAGAGGCGCGTTTTGACCTCCAGAGTCGCTAAATGGGATTCGAACCGAACGTGTGACCCCACCAATGGATTGCTTTCCGAACGAGGAATCCATTGGTGGGGTCACACGTTCGGTTCGAGTCCCATTCAGCGACTCTGGAGCTCAAAACGCGTCTAGAGGTTTGGCCGCCTCCCACGGTCGTCTGGCCCACTGTGCGTCGCTCTTTCTCAGCGGGCCCCGGTTCGTTCCTCCCCCAGGACACTCACTGTTGAGGTGGGTCCAGACCCAGGAGCGGTCGCAGCACTGTAGGTCTGCGGCCGCGGCGTCGGCGCCGTCCTGGTCGTCGGGGACGCGGCCCCGGACGCGGCCTGGCGGGAACGGGGGGCAGCCCACCGTCATCGGACTCGGGGGACGAGCACCGCGACGACGAAAGGGTGGCGGTAGAGGACGCCGTCGAGGACGAGGACGCCGTCGAACGGAGCCTCGGTGGACTCGGACGGGCTGACGGGCACTCTCTCGCTCTACAACGACCGCATCGCTGCTCGACTCGGCTCGGCTCGCGTTTGGAGGCTGCCGCTGGCTGCCCCTAGCACGCCGGCGCACGGAACTCTACTGACTGGCCGGCCGGGCCGACGCTCGTCGCCCTCCTCGCCCCGGCCGTGCCGGGCCAGGCCAGGGCCGTGCCCACTCCCACTCCACCCGTCTCTCTCGCACGCGCGCGGCGCCGGGGGGTGCGCGAGAGAGACGGCGAGGGCACTGTGCGGAGCATCGCTCTGCCAGTCGGCACTAGTTACGTGGTCACGTTTCGCCTACACGTGTCGAGTGCGCGTCTCGGGCTTGCTCAGCGCGGCCGCGCCCCGCCTGGCCCCGCCGACCGCCGGCGTTTTGACCCAGGCTTCGGAGCGTGCGCGCTTGCCCGATACCACACTGCGGCGGAGCCTGCCCGGGGCTTGCACGGTGCTGCAGTCCGGTGCACAGTGGGCCAGAAGACCGGTGGAGGCGGCCAAAACTCTGGACGCGTTTTGAGCTCCAGAGTCGCTAAACGGGGTTCGAACCGAACGTGTGACCCCACCAATGGATTGCTCTCCGGACGAGGAATCCATTGGTGGGGTCTCACGTTCCGTTCGAGCCCCATTTAGCGACTCTGGAGCTCAAAACGCGTCTAGAGTTTCGGCTGCCGGCGCCGGTCTTCTGGCCCACTGTGCGCAGAACCGCCTGCGAGGTATGCAAGTCGGACGCCCGCCGCACAGGGCGTGCGAGCGCGTTGCCTACCCGACACCGTTGCAGGCTGGCTGCAGTTCCCATTGAGCTCCCCGCCGAGAAGGGCCTCCCTCCCCTCCCCTCCCTTCCCCTCCCCTCCCTCCCCTCTCTCCCCCGGGGCAGCAAAAACGGCGCAGGATCGTGTTTGTAAACAGCATCCCGCGGCATCAACAGGTGCATGGGTAGGATAGTCACTGCCAAGTCACTGCCAAGGCCGCGATGACGTCAATGGCTCGCCAGCACCGCCAGCCACTCCTTCACGTCTCAGTTTCTAATCGTGCAGTCTCAGGCCCTTGTCTCTCTCCAGGATCCGTACTTCAAAAAACCCGGTTCCCAAAAAAAACCGTCTCTCCACTGTCCAAAAAAAAAAATCGTGTTCTAGAAATTTTTGAAATTCAAACCACGCCGCCAGGCGGCAAAAAAACGGTAATCAAATTTTGAAACGACATAAAATCGTTAGATAACGCCAGGCACTGTACAGCATCCTTCCCAAGGATCACGTTCTGCTCGTTACGAAATGGCCGTAATAATACCGACGAACAAAGCATTTGCATCGCACGGCGAAAAAATGGAGAGAGAGAGAGAGAGAGAGAGAGAGAGAGAGAGAGAGAGAGAGAGAGAGAGAGAGAGAGAGAGAGAGAGAGAGAGAGAGAGAGAGAGAGAGAGAGAGAGAGAGAGGGAGAGTGTGCAGCCAGTGCAGCGATTGCAGCGACACGTGTCTGGCTCACGAGGCCCCGTCGGCACACTGCTAGGCTCACGTGTTCGGGAAGCGCGCCGCACCACTGTATAATATCGTTATTGCATAGTGGAGTGAGCTGCCTGCTCCGGAGACCGAGCAGTCGTTACCCGATGACGTCCGCGCAGCCGGATGGACAGTTTGAAAAAAAAAGGACTCGTGCCGAAAACATCGCGAAACAAAGTTGCCAACCGGTTGTAAAAATGATTCGAAAAAATTGACAAAAAACTTATTTGGGCTGGTGACACGCTGAGACCTTGACATAACGTTATTGATTGACTCAAATTTGTAACTTAGTCATTTTTTTGCAAAGTTTTAAATAGAGTGGACTTCCACTCTGAGGACGGTGGACCGGTGGAGCCGGCCAAAACTAGACGAGTTTTGAGATCCCGAGTCGCTAAATGGGGCTCGAACCGAACGTGTGATCCCAACAATGGATTTCTCTCCGGACGAGGAATCAAAAGGTGGGGTCACACGTTCGGAGAGCAATCCATTGGTGGGGTCACACGTTCGGTTCGAGTCCCATTTAGCGACTCTGGAGCTCAAAACGCGTCTAGAGTTTAGCCCGCCTCCGCACCGGTCTTCTGGCCCACTGCGAGCGCGACGGACGCAACCCCACAAGGCCCGGCAACGTGCCCGCGGCTGCCGGCGCCACCACGTGAAGGCACTGGGTCCCCGGGTCCTTTGGTCCTTTGGGCAATGCAGGGCCGTTACGCGGCCTTACGTCAGGGCGGACGAGCCCTTGGACACACTGGGACACACGCAGCGCCCCGTGCTGGGCCCAATGCGGGGAGAGAGAGAGAGAGAGAGAGAGAGAGAGAGAGAGAGAGAGAGAGAGAGAGAGAGAGAGAGAGAGAGAGAGAGAGAGAGAGAGAGAGAGGGGGTATACGTGACGGCTACCGCGCGGTGCAGCCCAAGCACCGCACCCCTTTATCAGGTACGCACGGCCGCAGTGCGCCCCCATGGACTTTGGCTCGACTTGGATCTGACCTGGTATGTGCCTGGGTCCGCGAGGGTCCCCGAGCGATGACCGGCGTGGCGGCGAGACGCGGCCGACGGAGGACGCAGACGGTCAGACAGAGGGGCGGAAAACGGGTGGAGGCGGTCCAAATCCCAGACGCGTTTTGAGCTCCAGAGTCGCTGAATGGGACTCGAACCGAACGTGTGACCCCACCAATGGATTGCGCTCCGAACGAGGAATCCATTGGTGGGGTCACACGTTCCGTTCGAGGCCTGTTTAGCGACTCAGGAGCTCAAAACGCGTCTGCAGCTTTGGACGCCTCCACCGGACTTCTGGCCCACTGTGGGATGGCTCGGTGTTGGCGTTTCACGTGTCTCCAGAGCGTGAGGCCGGGCGGTCGCCACCGCGGTTACGCGACCGCATCGCCAGATACACCCCCCTCCCCCTCCACTGGGCGAGCGTCTGGGTCTCGCGACCGAGGCGCGACTCCCACGTGCGTCGGACGCGGCGACGCGGCGCTACCCCTCGCCAGCGCGGCCCGTCGCGTCGCTACCCCACGTCGGAACGCCCGCTGGAGCAGAGACGCCTACCTCGCCCAAAATTGGGTATTGATCAAGACTCTTTCATTCTCAGTGGAGAAGAAATAATAGTTCGTAAAGTGCGAAGTATTTTCTTTGTTAGCTTATGTATGCTCAAAGTACCATTGTTATGACAAGCCACTTTTCTTTGTAAGGCCGAAAATAGTTTGTAAGGTTTTCAGAGTGCAAGCACAGGACTCTGACAGCAGACTTCAATGTCTTGATCTCGTCAGTCACCCTCTAGTCCTTGAGTTGGCAAAAATTTCCTGTGTCCAAAAGGATTGCCAACAACTCACTATGCTGATGCATCCATCCACGGTCGCCACCCACTGCAAACCCACCTGCAAACAGAGGAAATAAATGAGTTAGTCCGGTAACATCGAGCAAAGCAAGTCAAGAACATTGACAGCTCGGTGCCAACTTAACATTATTTTACGATGTTTCTAGTTTTATTTTAAAAACCGGTCAGAGATGAAAGCTAAGCTTAGATTAACTGAGTTCAAAATTAAATTTTAAATCTCATTAATCATGTGCATAACCTTTTTATCTCTAGCCGTTAGCAAGATAAAAGCACCCGAAATGTCAATAAAAATTAAAATTGCGTGCCCTGCCCAGCGCGGGTTGCCCAGCCTGGCCTATCAAATCCTGTCTAAAAATACGGAAGCAAACACAGCTATCGCGATAATCGTCGCAGTGTACACAACACTGACAGCGCGACACAAGCACGCTCGACGCACTGACCACAAGTAGATTGTTTTGTATGTGCACAGCTCAAAGCTTTGTACACGGAAATGTGGCCAACGTTCTTATACTCAAGTTGGTGCGTAAGCTGCAACTTTTGCACTGTAGACCATCAATTAGCGCATTTTCACAAAACCTAAAAACTACATGGGTAGATATTGCCGAAGGAACAGACGTTAGCCGTTAGACACGAGTGAGAATAAACCTACTTTGATGAGATGCGAATTCAGAGAGTTGGCAAATAATGTCCAGCTACAAAAGGCGTTTCATAACGCGAGTTAAAGCTACTCCGCTGATGGATCCAAACAAAAGAGCAAAACGAAGATGTCAATTGTATGCCAGTTGCCAGTTTGGTTTGGCAGCACTGTCTCGGGTTCGTTAACCCCCGCAGGCCATTCCACCCGTCCGACGCCGTCGGTTTCGCAACATAGAACCTCTCTCTCTCTCTCTCTCTCTCTCTCTCTCTCTCTCTCTCTCTCTCTCTCTGCCGATCCGGTGAGCCTGATTCCAGCAGGGGCCCGCTTCGGGTCAAGCACAAGGGCAAACGCCGCCGGCTTGTTTAAAACCGTCCGTCCGCCCGCGACTTGCCCGAGACTCCTGCTAGGACAACTAGGACAAAACGCCCGTTTTCTGAACGTCAAACGGGAGTGCCGGCCGAACGGCTTTGCAGAGAAATGAGCGCCACGACGTTTTTGACGAAGTTCATTTAAATGGAAACGATCTCCGGAGCAACCAAAGAATAGACTTCAGTGAATCAGGAGGGGAAAACGGGGATTTGGGGGGGGGGGGGGGGGGGCTAGACTTGCGGTGCTATTCGCGCTGTGCCGGGCAGTGCCTACAGTGTGGTTACGCAACCAGCACATGGCCCCTCCACGTGAAGGCGATGGGACACCAGTCGTAGTAATAGTAGTAGTAGAAGTAGTATAGTAGTAGTAGCAGTGCACAATAAAACAGCGCAATTTCTCAGAAGCGGAGAAAAAGTTTGCTGGCTGAGCAAATATTTGGAAGCATTATGCTAAAAGGGAAATCTGAGCAAGCTCTGGTGGTCAACAACATTAAAAAAAAGCTTAAAATAAAACCACAAACATTCTCCTTGCCTACGATCCTGGTGACGTGCGCACACACACATATTCTCTCCCTCTCTCTTTCTTTTCTCTCTCTCTCTCTCTCTCTCTCTCTCTCTCTCTCTCTCTCTCTCTTACACACACACACACACACACTTTCAGACACACACATACACACACACACACTCACACACTTATAACTGTGATAAGGCCTTGGCGCGGATGACTTCTTACGCAATGAAACTATTGCCCCTCCCCCCCTTCCCAATCGCGGCCTTAACCCACATTGATTTCCGTAAACAGGGGGGTTAAAATGTGCCCAGGCAGCGCGCACGCACTGCGAGACTGCGAAGCTTGCGCGAGTACGGAACCGAGGAGAAGAAATTGGAAGTGGAGCATGATAAGGCAAGTGTATTGCGCACTGGTCGACCTCGAGGTCCTCCCCGGCGTAGCGCACTGACGAGATGGCGTCGCACAGTGGGCCAGAAGGGAGGCGGCAAAAACTCTAGACGCGTTTTGAGCTCCAGAGTCGCTAAATGGGACTCGAACCGAACGTGTGACCCCACCAATGGATTCCTCGTTCGGAGAGCAAGACAGAGAGACACACAGACAGGCAGATTTTAGCAGTGGAGGCGGCCAGGCGGCCGGAGGACGACCCGACCCGGCTCAAGGTGGCCGAACCAGGATCACAGTATCCTTGCGCATATCAAGCTTCGCGCTTCGAGCTTCGCGCGTCACCAGGAGTCACGTGAGGCCTCCAAGTGTGCCAAACGTCTCGCACGTGAGCCCCTCTCGCCACGTGACGGTAGAAAATGGCACTGCGGGGAACAAAAAAACAACTAGCAAGGAGGAAGCGAGGATTTACTCGGCTAGAAGTTCATGGCCGGTTCAATCAAAAATTAACCAAATAATGCAGGATGATTAACGAGCAAGTTTTCTTGTATTGAAACCCGTCGCAGCTATTCCGAATTAAATTTAAAATTTACAACTATTGGTTTTACCCTTATTTCGCTAAGGAGTTACTGAGCTCGTAGTTTAATCATTTGGACAGTAAGGAAAATAAGCTGAATTTCAGACGGTTCGCTTAGTTCATCCTCCCGGCTTGACTTGTTGTGGGGCGGTAGGTACACTGTAGTCGCGTCGAGATACTACGAGTACAGTACACGGGAAGGTCACCCCCAGCAGACTGATGCCGAGAGTCGTCGCTCCGTCTCTCTCGCACTCGCGAGGCGTTCCGTGCAGGCGCGAGAGAGACGGAGCGACGGAGACGACTCACAGTGTGCAGGTGGCGGCTCGCGCCACTCGAAGAAGTCAAAAGAAGAACTAAAGGCGTCACGTAATTTGTACACATCTGAGTCACGGCGGCCGTCGACCCCGGCCCACGGTGGGCCGTCCGCGCGTCGCACCGCCGTCCACCGAACGGAACAATGACTTTCTGTCTTGTAATCTCTTCGCCCGGTTGCACAAGCTGGCCCACGGTCAAATATCTTCTTTCACGCCATTTTGGGGTATTTTGGGCCATTGTAAGCCATTCTGGGCCATTTTGAACGAGGTGGCCGACTGGGCATGAAATCCCGTTCACCTTGGCTTACCATGTCATCATCATGCAGACAACAGCCCTCCTGCAGACTGGTTCCAGGGGTCGTTTTCGTCGCTCTGTCTCTCTCGCCCTCGTGTGGAGTCTCCTACAGGTGCGAGAGAGACAGAGCGACGAAAACGACTCTCGGAATGAGTCTGCTGGTCACGGGGCTTCGCAGCGCGTTCAAAGCCCTGCGCGTGGCCGCGTGGTGCTCTGTCCCTCTCGCACTCGTGGGGCGTCCCTAGAGGTGCGAGAGAGATAGGCGAGGGGCCTATGGCGTAGGTCAGGGTGGCCCCAGACGAGGCGGCGCCGGGGCTAGCCGCTTGGCGGCCCGGCCGACAGGTGGCGCCAGCAGCGCACAGTGGGCCAGAAGACCGGTGGAGGCGGCCAAAACTCTAGACGCGTTTTGAGCTCCAGAGTCTCTAAATGGGACTCGAACCGATCGTGTGACCCCACCAATGGATTGCTCTCCGAACGAGGAATCCATTGGTGGGGTCACACGTTGGGTTCGAGTCCCGTTTAGCGACTCTGGAGCTCAAAAACACGTCTAGAGTTTTGGCCGCCTCCACCGGTCTTCTGGCCCACTGTGCAGCGCCAGCGGCCGAGCGCTCTGTCTCTCTCGCACCCCCACGGAACGCGGGGACGAGTGCGAGAGAGGCAGGGCGACTAACGAAACTAACGAGAGCCTTCTGTTGACCGAATCCATTATGTCACTCGCGGCCAAACATGTTTTTCGCGCCGAGGGCGGCGAGGCCACGTGCCCGCGCAGGGCGTGCAGCCGGGCTCGATGACTTTCAGACTCTCGGACTTCGAGATATCGATTCGATTACTTTGAGCCGAGACCACTTGGCCGGCAACGCCAACGCGGCCAGCGCCCTTGCGTGGAAACAAAGCCTGTCGCGTCAGAGGATGCCTTCTCTCTCTCTCTCTCTCTCTCTCTCTCTCTCTCCCTCTCTCTCTCTCTCTCCCCCTCTCTCTCTCTCTCTCTCTCCCCCCCTCTCTCTCTCTCTCTCTCTCTCTCTCGCTGCGACGCACGGCACTTGTTGTGCAGCGATCAAGGCCGAAGTTAATGGTGTAGTGCCGCACTGCACTGCGCCGCACTGCGCAACGCATTGTCTAGGTCAAGCTCCACCTGGCCTGGCTGGCCATTCAAACCCAAGGTTCCTCGACGGCTTCCGTGCGGCCCGGGCGCGGGTTTGGTCGCAAACGTCAAACCCAAGGGGAAATCACTGTGAATTTCAGTGTGAAAATCAAATTAATTTCGGTAGTTTTACGATAAATTTCAGTCGAATTTCGAAGTTTTAATAAATTTCAGTGCATTGTACATGTTTGATGAATTTTGGTATATGAATTTGGCTGCAGTTTTTTTTTCCCTCGGCCGAACCCACCGAGTGCACCTAGCACATGGTTTATACACGAGAAACGTCGAATTGATCAAGAAAAAATATTCCTGGTTATTCCATTCCCCCGATTTTTTCAAAAAATTTTAGCTAAGGGACTGGTTGAACAAAATAAACTAAACTTTGGTCAACCCGTCTTTTGGTCGTTTTTTTTGCGAGCGATATCTCTGATAAATACAACACAGTTCGTTGAGTTTCTTTTTTTGTAAAGTTTTTTTTTTTTAATATTTTTTTTAACAGTGACGGCCCCAGGAAGTGTACTCTTCGTATGAATGAAATCCACGGCGGACGATGATACAACCCGACCAGAAAGAAAGGCAGAAAGAAATCCTGTTTTTAAGCCAAACAGCGGTAGCCGCGCATGGCGCCGCCGTGTCCAGACCGAATGTCACCCCCCCCCCCTTCCCCCTTCCCCCGCCACCGGGCCTAAAACACTCAAGGCGGCGTTCACCTCAACGGCCGCCTCATTCCGCAGAGAGTCTATCCGTCTCCCTCGCACCCGCAGGGCCCGCAGGGGGCGCCTCGTGAGTGCGAGGGAGACAGAGCGACGAAAGAGT